CTGTAAAGTTTGAGCTCAAAATATCAAATTCATTCCTCAACCTTTAAAAAAACCAACTGTCTTTTGGTCCACTTTCAGCAAGTTTTTCGCACACTGAACTTTGGGGCTGTCGGAACAACAACATCTCAGAAACGAATAAAATGACCTGAAATTTGTTCTGCTGTTTGTTATCATGACGTTGAGTCACAACATGCAGCGTTGTGCAACCTGTCAAATCTGCTCAGTCAGTTAGAAAAGTTAAACAACGATAACTGTCTTTTTCTTCTATATTCATGTGACGCGCAGCAACACGTGGTTCAGAGAATATCTCTGGTTGGCTCAGTTTTTACGTTAATATGAGCTCAAAGATGGAAGTGTTTATAACCACCTCAAATTATTGCATATTGGAACTGACCCATAATCAGAGATGGTAGATTCTGAGTCAGTGTTATGACAAGAATCTTTTTTTCCTTTACAGGTTTTGGGATATTGTTGTTCAGACAGTCGCAAGTTTAACACGTGACAAAATCTGCAGAATCTACATCGGCGGGTATTTTTTTTATTTATTACATTTTCATAAATGCAGAAACTTCTTAATACATTATTGTTCTTTTATTTTATAACAAATATGTTTCATCAATATTATTATTTCATTGTGTTGTAAATTCGGGCCAATCAGAGACGGACGAGCAGAAATAAAGTCTTTTTGATGCAACACCTGTTGCGCAGTGATCGGTTCTACGCCTGTGCGACTCACTTCAAGCGAGCTCATTGGTTCACAGAGACGTCGGCAGCTGATGACGCACTAAATCCGCGACAGTCTTGCTGGAGGCGTTTGTTTACCGTCCGCGAGTCCAGAGCCGTTTTCTCGTTTAAACCGGCGCAAAAAAGAACATGTAGCCGCCGACAGAAGCCGGTTCAAGTCTGTGAGGGTGAGTTTGTGGAGCAGCGACATGGATTTCTGCCGGAAACAGGTGAAGACGGACTGCGAGCTGCTGCTGAGCCGCTTCCAGCAAACAGAGTCCGTCCGCTTCGAGGTGTTCTCTGGCATCTGGAGGGACATGAGCTTCTCACACATCTTCTAGTAGGTTCACACTAACAACTTCTCGGCCTCGTTCACTCTTCATGTACGTCTTGATTTGACCTCTTCATTGTTGCGCATTAAGCGATCCAGCCTCCTTTACCAACAAGTGCGTCACAGGTGTAGTTCAGCTCATGTCATGCAGATGTGCAACTCCTGTGATGTCATCAATGCATCGAAGTGGTGATGTTTGAAGATTTCGACTCATATTATAATGGCAAAAGAGATTATTTCTTTACTTATATATAAAACCAATCGTTCATTACAGTCTAAACAAGGACAGTCGACATGCAGCCGAAACAACACAAACCAAACTATAATGTCGCCTTTAATTTGGGGCTGCAAATAACAATTATTTTCACTGCCCATCAATCTATTTCCTATTTTCTGAATTGACAGGTTAATTCTTTGGGTAAAAATTGGTGTCTACTGCTGTTTCTCAAAGCCCACGGTGACGCCCTCAAATGTCTTGTTTTGTCCAAAGATATTCTGTTTCGTGTCATAGAGGAGTAAAGGAAGGAGAAAATATTCACATTCAATATGCTGGGATCAGGAAATGGAGACTTTTTCCTTTCCTTAAAATTACCGAATCATTTGATGAACAGGATAGTTGGCAGTTTATTTCTAGATGACAGCTGATCAGTGAATGTGCAGCTCTGGTGTAACCCTACATGTCAGGCCTGATTAAGCTGTAAACTGCAAACATTTCTTTGGTCATGATTCAGCTTTAGAACTTCTGTGCATTTGCATGTTAAAGTTGTTTGATCCAGATAAAAGCTGCTGTGGGTTTGTAGAAACCAGGTGGGAACCAGTTTATGGCACAGCACCAGTAAAAGCAAGGGAGGAGGATTGTGTATTTATGTCCACAGCAACTGGTGCACTGAAGCCTAAATCATATGCAGCCACTGTTCTCATGACGTGGAGAACCACACAGGTAAGTCCAGGTGCAACAGTAACCAGAAAACACTCTGCTGATGATTCTGTTAAACAGTTTGTGCATCATTTGTCTCTCTATAAGTGACTCACGCCGTGTTTCAGAGAAGTTCCAGGACTGGTGTCACAGAAGATATGTTTCAAACCCCAACTGCAAACTACCAGTGTTCCCCTTCAGATGATCAACCAGCACGTCGTTGACAAAGAGATCCTGCGGCGTTTGCTTCTTTCAGTGCGCCAGAAGAGGCAGAGTTGTGGCAGGACGAGTGGTGGCTGCTTCACCATGACTCACAACGCCCTGAGCATCCCACAGCTCCTGGCTGAGAAGAACATCTCCGTGCTGGAGCAACCTCCCTACTCACCCCACCTGGGATGTGGGATTGGTTCCTCTTCCCCAAGCTCAAGGGCTCATCAAGGGGACCTGTTTAGAAGACGTGGACGACATCAAGATGGCTGTGACGACGGAGCTCAGAGGATCCTGGAAGAATCCTTCCAGGAGTGCATTGCGGCGTAAAGAGAAGGCTGGGGAAGTGTGTTAGACTCCAGGAGGATTACTTGGAAGGGAAAACTGGTAGATTGAAGTTTGGATTTGGAATATATCTTTTGTGACACCAGTCCTCTCGTATTCAGCTTCTCAGCAGCAACAGACGGCTGCAAAGAAAACTGGACTTTCAACAACGGACTGATAATGTTTTAATGTTGATGTTCTAATATTTGCCATAGTTAGAACTGAGTTCAGAAAGTTAACATCATCATGAGGTAGGAAACCTGCTTGATTTTGGAAAGAAATTGTTAAGGTCTGAAAGACAGAGAACAAAACCAAGCTGGGATCTCAGAGTGTGGCTGGGTTTTGCGAATGAACTCAGACTCGTAATATCTTTTTCAGTTTTAATGACTCGTGTTTTTTCATTGCAGCGGAACTTTAAGCCACGAGAAAAGAACGTTCAGTCGCCTGGTCCTGGACGTGGCCGGCAGCTTCTTCCTGCCGCCCTTCAGCTTCCAGATCCGAGTGGGAGGACTCTACCTGCTGTACAGTTTGTATCACAGCCAGACGGCCGCGCCCTCTGAGCAGGTCAGCGCCGCAGCGCAAGCAAGCAAGCAAGCTGCTGCTGAAAGAGACCATCGCACCTTGAATAAAGTTCTTGTTCTGTGTCCGGCTGCAGATCCGCCTGGCGCTGAAGGACTGGGAGGACGTGAAGAAGTTTGAGAAAGACGCCGTGGACGCTCAGCACCTCGACGCCGTCTACATCCTCCGACAGCTGATGTTCTGCAAAGCTTTCCATTTCACTGCCATGCCGACGCCGGTGAGCTGCAGCCATGAACAATGAGTTGTTAAATTCATTGCCGGCTATCGGTTTGAGTCATTTGAAAGGTAGAAAAGGTGAAAATGATACGATTCCAGATTTATTATGTTAGTCAGTCAGACTTTATCCATAAAGCACTTTTTGTCCAAGTGAAATAATGTTGTACCAAAAATATGTGTCATTAGTGTGCAGGATTCTTTAGTTTTTCTATCAGAAAAAACAATTATGATTGAAAAAGCAATTCTTAAAAACTCTAATGAAAACCTCGAACTTGATGGTGAAAGTCTACAGTTACAGTCTGACTGATTGGAGAGTAAACACGTAAAGACATTCATGACTCAAATTATAGAAACATATATGATAAATGTTGCTTAAATATGAGCGCAGCAGCTGCCACAGCAGCTTTACATCAGCAATATTATGGTTCTGTTTTTCAGCTGTGCTTAATACATCTATGTGTCATGAAACACAAATCAACCAAATCTGGAAAAAGTTCCTCCTCAGAATGACTTGGTTCTTTACCTCCAGTAACTCTATCTACTGACCAGAGTTCTACCTTCAGACTGTGAATGTTCCAGGTCCTTGAAGTCCACAGAGGAGGGTCCAGATTCATCACTTTAATGGACTTTTTCCATCATTTCTGAGCCTCAGAACTTCATCAGTACAGCAGATAGACACATGACATTTAGGAGGAAGAACACATCTGAGTTCTGGTAGAACCTGACACCAGACCAGTTCTACATCCATCCAGGTGTCACAGTCGGAACACTGGACCTGGTTCTGTTCATGTCCTCTGTCAGCAGCTGGTAGCATCAGTATTATGGGATGTCTCATAGTGGTACCAGTTTAATGTCTATGACATAGAGTCATAGAAACAATCATTTGTACCCTGGATGTGGTTCTGGTTCTGATCATTCACCAGAGAAAACGTTACAAAGTGCATTCTGGGTAAACTTTCCAGGCTCCTATCAGCATGTGTGATGGCGGTTGATCAGAACCAGTTCTAGACGATGGAAGGACCGTTTTACCTCCAGAACCTACCAGAACCATCTACAGACAGGATTCTGGGACTAATGATTGCGGAAATTTTCGACCTCTCAAATGAAGTGTAACAAAGTATTTTTCAAGACAATTTTGTTGCATAATTTGCCAAAAAGAAAAATAAAATAAAATCCAGCAACTCCTGTGCTGTTGTGTGCATCTTCTAACATAAACCAAAGCCAGGTCCAGTGTTCAGACTGTGACTCCTGGATGGATGTAGAACTGATCTGGTGTCAGGTTCTACCAGAACTCAGATGTGTTCTTCCTCCTAAATGTCATGTGTCTATCTGCTGTACTGATGAAGTTCTGCAGCTCAGAAATGATGGAAAAAGTCCATTGAAGTGATAAATCTGGACCCTCCTCTGTGGACTTCAAGGACCTGGAGCTCTGGAATATTCACAGTCTGAAGGTAGAACTCTGCATGGCGTCATTAAATGTTCTAAAGCAACCTTAGATGATACATTTTCTGAGGCAGAATGGTTCATATGAGTCTGTCTTCTTGTTGCAGCTCGTCTACAGGAAGAAGAGGAAAGCTGAGAGGTCAGCGCTATGCGAGGCGTTCATGGAACGAGCGTCTCGTCCTCAGGAGCTGATCAACGTGGAGTTTCTGGAGGTGAGCAGAGAGCTGCCTTCAGCCCGTCGACTCTTCGACGCTGCAGCGCTCAAAGTCTCGTGTTTGTCTTCGTGCAGGAGCTGAGCAACATTCACGAGCTCTACGAGAAGCTGAAGACGTCCGTCGCGTCTCCAGCATCGGAGCCGTCCGTCCACCTGATCCGGAAAAACCTCGTCCCTCGGCTTCGCAGCGCCGTCGTGGACTTCTACAAGTGGCAGCACAGGAAGGTGAGAAACGTCTTCAGTTCCACCTCGGGCTTGGTGCAACACTAAGATACGATTAGCCTTTATTAATCCGTCAGTGGGGTCATTTGCTTTGTTCCAGCAGCAAACATTTAGGAAACATCAGCATAAAAATAATACTAACAGACTAAAAATCTACACGAGTACTGGTTCAGATTGTCCAATAAATTCCTCTGCATGTGGAAATAATGAAAATATTGCTCATATTAATGCACAGATAGGAAGTATTACTATCGCACCGACTTCTGTATTTGTAGAACAACTGAACTTGCACAGTTTCACAATTCACACCTTTAAAACGTGTCAATGCTGCACCAGAGAGAGTTTATCCTCTGGCTGTGGAGTCTTCAGGGCTTCATCTCACGAGTTTTCAGATCCGTTTGCTACCAGACACACAGAGGCGCAACTTTAAACCACCACAGTGTCACAGTTCAGTGTTAAAACCAGACGAGTCTTGTGACCAAAAACCTGACGTGTGGATTTGTGTGATCGCTCAGCTTCAGTACCGTCTTTTAACGTGAAGCTTCGTGGTGTTTTGTGTCGTCAGGACAGCGCCGATGAAGATGACGACGCTGGTGAAGGAACGTCGTCTCAGCAGGAGGTGAGTTCTCCGTTTTACTGACGCCTCAAACTGAGGCGAACCGAGTCCGACGTTGTAGTGCGGAGTTTGTCCAGAAGGTGGTGCTGTTGACCGACTGCCTGTTCTGTGTCCTCAGTGCTCCAGAAGAGCCCAACTTCTGGCCTCCATCAAATCAAAGGCGTACGGAGAAGCAGCAGAGGTTCGTGTCTTTGTGTTTATTTAATTTCTCTTCTGGTGTTCAACTAGTTTTCAAAAAGCCCTCTGTTTGGCTTCATTCACTGTCGCACTTTTAGAAAATAATGGAGCACTGTTTAAGAACATTTTACAGTTTTTAGTCATTTCTATGGAGTAGTGAGAGCGCCAAGTTACAAAAATAAATCAATAAAAGAATAATAAAATAAAAGTGAAAATAAAAAGAAGAATAAATGAAATAATGCGGCAATATAAAGCAATATTAATCACAAATGAATCCATAAAAGGAAGGTCTGATGAAAGTAGAAATATAAAGACAAATAAATAAATATTATATATATTTTTTTAAATGAACATTTTACAGTTTGATTGCACGTTATTTATTTTTGTCGACTCTTCTTAGACTTTTCTAAACATAGCCACAAGGCTTGCATCCTTCAGTGCTCAGATTTGTTATTTCCTTCTGTTAAGTACTTTTTTTGTTTTTCTTAAACAAATATTTCAACTAATGAATCAATAATCAGTCCAACTGCTGGTAAGTTTAACAGTCATCTGATTGAGTGTTGCAGCCCTGATTACGTTTATATATATATATATTTTTTAGGTTTTACAGATTATCTGTCAGTCATAGTTGTCTTTGGTTTTAATATGACCTTGTTGGGTCACGTCGCTCTATTTTCTGTACATTTGTGCTTGTGTTTATGAAACACTTCTATTAAAGGGACCTGTTTCTGTGTTGTGTGTCTCAGGCCTCCAAGTCCAGGCGTCATCGTCAGGTGGAGGTGGATTTCACCTGCGATGAATCCGGCCCCGCCCCCACGGCGGCTCGCTCCAGGGCCAGCAAACCGTCACTCAAAGCCAGAACCAATGAGAACGTCCGGATCTCAGGTAAATCCATCATGCAGCCTTGTGAATGCAGAACTGCAAGAAAAATATCTGGTGAAAGTCTGCAGATAGAACCTGACTGAGGGAAGGATGCGTCAACATGTGGAAACATCTGGTTTATTTGTGCTGCTCACTTCGCGTCTTGTAAACGCGTTAATTCCTGAAGTACGACATCCAGCAGTGGTGCGATTTTCCACTTGACGTCCAAAGACTGTCGTGTGAATTCATGGTCACGACTTTTGTGTTTCTCAGGCGACGTTTGGAAGGAAGCCGAGGAGACGACGCTGATCAACCGTCTGGCCGTGCTGGACTCTGAAGGTGAACGCCGTTTACAGTCGCTGCATTGGTTCACACAACGTTTTCTGGTCTGTTTTCATCCACTTTCTTTCTTTTGTGTCCTTTCAGAAAAAAGAAAACGGTTCAAAAGGTTCAAGTGGTCATGAAGAAAATGCAGAAGAAAGAACCTGCTGCTCAGACGTTTTGCTGATGTTTTACTGCCTTGTTTCCTTCTTTCAGACTTTCACTGGAAATGTTTTTACATTTTTTACATGCGTTCATTCGTTTTTTAAAACTGAAGCATTCAGACTGTTGTGTTTCGAGTAAAACTATGTAATAAGCGTTCACTGTTTTATAGAGAAGCTGTGTTTTTGTCCGTCTTTTTCTTCTATTATATGTCAGATGTTTGAAGAACCTGCTTTTCCTCTTCTGCCATTTTGGTGAAAGTAGTTTAGTCTATTTTAAATGTATTTATGATGCAATTTTTGCTTCAACTTGCATTTACTGTTATTTTCTGCTTTTTTAGTAACACCATTTGTCAGAAAGATAAAAGCTTATAAAGTTAAATATGCTTACTTTCTAATTCCTGGTCTCATAATTTATTCATTTTTGATGAGCTGACCTCCTCAAAACAGATAAATTTAAAGAACAGGACGAAGGAGTGAGAACTTTTTATTTGTTGGAATAAACATCTTAACTGGTCTCAACTCAGTACAGTTTGGCAACAATGAGTAGTTTTAGCTCGCTAGCTTCTGAATTGGGTGAACATTTGAAGCGCATGAACTTTGTTTGTTAATGGAAAATGTTTGGGAATTTTTAGCAGTTTTGCATCAGTTTTGGTGAATAATTCTGAGGTTTTCAAGAAAAGAGGCTGATTTAAAGGGTGGTTTGTTATAATTTGAAGGTTTAAATGAGTTGGGAAGCATCTCTTGTCTCAGACAGGAGAAAACTTTTGTTCAAAAACTCAAATTTAACATAAATCATTTGGGTCTTAGCTGTTTGTTTTAAAAGGCAGCTTTAAATAAACGGCACCACCTGCAGCCAAAAGCTAACTATCTTTCTAAAACAGCACTTCTTCATTGATGTTTATCACCTTTGTTAATGCTGCCAATAGTATCTATTAGTTTCACTAAATTAAACAATTTTCTTTAAAAAAAAAAAAAAAAAGACAACCTGTGCCAAGATGTGCTCATTTTGCGAATTGCTGATCCTGATGTGTTGAGCCTGGCTAGAACATCGTTGTTTAAATAAAGTATGAGTATCAGAGCTTTCAGAACCAGCACTACCATCCAGTGAACATGGATCTGAACCGGGGCACCGGAGGAAACCCAGTGTTCCTGTGGGACAAGAAAGATGACTGCAGCGGCGACGATGTCATGGCCGTCACTCTGATCGTTGCCAAAGAAGCCGTGGATCCGTACGAGGCCGTCGGCGTGGAGGTCATCTCCAGAAGCCTCAATGCAGGAAACCACTGCAGCTGTGACGCTCATGTCACACCTGCCCTGTACCTGTGTTTTTATTGCTGACAGCCGCCATGGCGACACAGCTGGTAGAGCAGGTAACTGCAAGCAGCACAAGAATCCTTCATTTTGTCATTAAAGCACCAAAACTGACCCGTTCGTCCGCCAAAGGGAGATTTATCATAGCACAGCGTTATCCAACCCAATGTTCAAACTGACAACAACTTTCCAAGATGGCTGCCGTATCCGATGGACAAACCTCCCATGTGTTTCCCCACAGCATGATGTTGCTGAACGATTTGCTTGGTTTTAATGTCAAAATATGTGTCGGCCATCTTGAAAAATGGTAAAAAATTGGCTGTTTGAAGGCAGCGTTTTTTGTGAATGGGCTCCATCAATCATGAACATGTCACATGTGATGCTTGTAGGAGAATTTGAAGGGTTTTCACTTCTCTGCCCAGTTAGCTGAGCACGCTCACTGAGGAGAAACTAAAGAATCCTCATTTCTGATGTTGAGTCACTTTAGTAAACGATGATTTTTCACTTTGATGAAATGATGAGATGTTTTCAATCTCTGTGATCTCAGAGGTTTTACTCTGCTGACATTTGAAGGTATCGCTGATCACAGATCCTTCAATCGATCAAATCAATCAACCTGTTTGAAACGGTCTGCAGTGACTCTGAACCACTTTGTTCTGATGATTTTCTGTTTCAATAAAGTCTCATCTGCATCTGAAATATCTTTGCCTCTTTTTCAAACCTTCATCAGATTGTGTTTTCAAGGAACATGAAGACTGCAAATAAAATGTGAAACAAACCGAGAACAGAGGAAATAAATGTATTCTCTATGAGCGATGAAGACTCCCATCTGAGGGAATGTGTTTTATCTGTAAACCTGTTGATTTCTATGAAGAGGTTACAGTATCACACAGGTCATGCATCGCGTTGCCATGGAAACCTACATGCATTTAGTTGGTGTTGCAGAAATCACATTAGGTATGTTTTATGTTTGGTTCCACCGATAGAACCTTCTATTGGCATTTATCACAGAGGATGTTCAATGAGGAACATTAATTTCACTTTGATTTGGACATCAGTAAAGTGATGTCATATTACATCATTCATCACCGTCCAACAACTCTGTTCATGTGTTTGTTCTTCAAGCAGCACAGAATAACTTTATTTAAAATGCTTAAAGAACCTGTTTTATCGATGGAAAAAAATAATCAAAAACAAACCAAAAAAAACCCCAACTAACTACTTAATGAGGTTTTTATTGAACCAGGTGGGTCCCCAAACACCAACCAATCAGAACAATCAATCCATCAGTTGCTTCCCGGAGACCTGCTCAGAACATCTGGTTCTTTATCTCCACTAACTTCATTTAATACTTAGAGTTCTACCTTTATCCAGAATTCGAGGCCCTTGAAGTCCATAGAGGAGAGTCCAGATTTATCACTAGTTTTTCACTAACGTTCCTTTTTTAAGCACTTTTGAGCCTCATCGCTTTGTAAATACTGAAGCCAGAGGAAGGACTGATGTCAAATGTGTGTAAAAATGTCCTTCCATTATCTAGAACTGGTTCTGACCAACCACCATCACACATGCTGATATGAGCCTGGAAAGTTTACCCAGAATGCACTTTGTAAAGTTTCCTCTGGTGAATGATCAGAACCAGAACCACATCCAGGGAACCAGTGATTGTTTCTATGACTCTATGTCATAGACATTAAACTGCTGCAGGCTGACTGGTACCACTGTGACAAAAATCCTCCTGTTGTCAGAAAATCAATAAAACCAGTGTTTTCTGTCAGTTTTTTATTTTTACACTGAAACATTCAAACTGTGCAAATGAATCGAACGAGTCGGACGAATTCTGTCGACGCTGAAAAACTCACTGAGGCCACAGAGGAGCTGAACCGGACTCTGCTGCTGGTTCTGCTGCTGCTTCAACCCGTCCTGGTTCTGTCTCTTTACGTCTCTTTCATCTGGATTTGTTCACATCAGGTCCATTCACTGGGAGACTTACAGACTTCCTGTCAGTGGTCACCAGTCACCATTCAAACCTGAACTAGTCCTTCAGTTAAACACAGAGAACTCTGTTATCAGTCTAAGATCCGCTCTGAGGATGAACCATCGCTCCCTTCAGCCTCAGTTAAACCTAAATAGTCTGCATTGACTAGCTGGTAAACAGGTTAACACCACGAACTGACTACAGGTTAAACTAAACTAAACTGGTCAATTCTGACCTGTTCAAAAAGAAACCAACCTCAACCAGCCAGCATAATCTTAACCAACCCAACCCTTCAGCCTGAGGACTTACAGCTGCCAGTAAATTATTAGCTCTACTTCACTACCACTAACCACTTTGAAACTAGTTAGCTGGATAGAAATTAGTTAGTCTGGCAGAAGCAAGGTATTATGATAGAAACTAGCCCATTGGACAGAAGGTAGTTAGTCTTACATAAACTAGTTACCCTGAAAGAAACTAGTTAGTGTAACAGAAACAAGTTAGTTTAAGAGAAACCAGTCAGTCCAACGGAAACCAGGTACTCTGACCGAAACTAGCTAGACTCACTAGCTTAGTCTGACTAGTTTGACAGCAATTAGTTAGTCTCACATAAACTAGTTAGTCTGACCAAAGCTTGTTTGTCTGGCAGAAACTAGTTATTCTGAGAAACTAGTCACTTTGGAGGAAACTAGTTCGTCAAACAGAATCTAGCTACTCTGACAGAAGCAAGTTGGTAAGCTAGGTAGTGTGACAGGAACTAGTTGACTGAGTTAACACACAAACAGTGAAGGCTGACTTTGGAACAGCAGCTTCTCCTGATAAATGACATAAACTGAGTCACATTAAACTCTACAAACACAATAATCAATAACCAGTAACCAATAACCAATACCCAATCACCTGCGGATAACTGGTCTCCTCATAAAGCGTCAACTGTTACTTTATTTTTATTGGTTTCACTGGGAGTCATTTTCACTGTAAATCGTTTCTGATCACCTGTAATGTTTGCACTGAGTATACCTGATCTTTACTGGTTTACACCAGGTCGAACTGGTTTATACCGGATCTAACTGGTTTATACTGAGTCTAACTGGTTTATTCCGGGCCTAACTGGTTTATACTGGATCTAACTGATTTATCATGTGTCTAACTGGTTTATACTGGATCTAACTGGATTTACACTGGGTCTAACTAGTCTATACTGGGTCTAACTGGTCTCCCTTGGTCAGTGCTTGGTCCAGCAGGCTTGTCTGAAAATACTGTCCACTGAATGTTACTGTACCGCTTTTATATGGTTTCCACTGGTATGCAGTGGTTCTAGCTGGTCTTTACTGGTTTATATTGTGTCTTACTAGCCTTCACTAGTGTTACTGGTTTAGCTGGTTTTGTGTAGTTTGCACTGAATCTAGCTGGTCTTTATTGGTTTGTACTGAGTCTGGCTGGTCTTTACTGGTTTATACTGGGACTGGCTGCTCTTGTGTGGTTCGTACTGGGTTCTGTAAGAGGTTCATTTTGTTGTCTCTAGAAATGGTTTCAACTGGATTTCACTGGTTTTTAGCAGGTCATACTGCTCTTCACTCGTCTTTACTGGGTCCTGCTGATCTTAACTGGTGTGTAATGGTCTGTACTCGTCTTCTGAGCTCCTCTGTGGCTGTGGTGGAATTCCCAGCATGCCTCCGTAAACGGGTAATAAACAGTAAGTAAAGCTCGATGCACAGCATCAGTAATGAGCAGCAACAACGTCCTCACTGTGGCGGCCATGTTGGCTCTGAGTGATGTCACTATGGTGATGTCACTATGGTGACATCATAGCAACACAGATCCATTCACACACACTCATTCTCACACACACACGCACACACACACACACACACACACACAGAGTTCTGTAGTCCACCAGCCAATCAGATGAGGATACATCCTCTGGTCTCAGTAAAGTTCTCTCTGATTGGCTGCTTCCTGTCAGTCTGTTCTTCTTCTCCTGTTCTGTCGCCGTCACTTCAGCCAGACGAGCCTCCACCATCACTGATCCTTCCCATCATCCTTTGCTCTGCTGGATGTGGACTGGTGAGCTCATCTCAGACCAGCTGAGGTCAGAGGTCAGCGTGACCATGACATCACGGGTCAGGAAGGTCAGAGGTATCCACGGTAACCTGCCAAACAAACCAGTCAAAACAAGTGACGGTTAAAGTCGGCCTTCCTGATCTTTATCTGGTCTTTTACCAGAACTCGAATGTGTTTTTCCTCCTAAATGTCATGTGTCTATCTGCTGTACTGATGAAGTTCTGAGGCTCAGAAATGATGGAAAAAGTCCATTAAAGTGATAAATCTGGACCCTCCTCTGTGGACTTCAAGGACCTGGAACTCTGGAACATTCACAGTCTGAAGGTAGAACTCTGGTCAATAAATATACTAAAGTTATTGTTTATAATCATCCATCCATACATCATCTATACACCGCTTAATCCTCACTAGGGTCATGGGGGGCTGGAGTCTATCCCAGCTGACTCAGGCTGAAGGCAGGTTCACCTGGACAGGTCACCAGTCTATCAAAGGGCTACACTTAGAGACAGACAACCAAGCACACTCACATTCACACCTACGGACAATTTAGAATCACCAATTAACCCCAGCATGTTTCTGTACTGTGGGAGGAAGGTGGAGAACCCGGAGAGAACCCATGGGTTCTCTGTTTATAAACAATCAGTTGATTCTGAGGACGTCGGGTGTCTCTGACTGAACCAGCCTCACCTTGATGAAGATGGTATCGTCTTTGATGTAGCTGCCGGCCTCCAGGACGCTCTGAGACACAAACAGAGGACAGCCGGAGGCGATGTTCATCTCTGCACTCGGACGCCTGAAGCTGCTGCTGCTGGGATCGGGCTTGAAGGCGTCGCCCAGATGTTTCCTGGAGGCACCCTGGTCCATCAGCATCAGAGTCACCTGACAGACCGACACACAGATGAGCTTCTCAACACCACACAGATCCACGTTTCTGCAGAAAAATCAGCAGTATTGAAGCGGTAGGGGGGTACCTTCTGTTTGAAGGGCCAGGGCAGCAAGGCGTCGTACTCGCCCCTCATCACCACGAAGAACAGCGACAGGTGCGTGCCCTTGCCCATCCCGTCTCCATTCAGGTAAACCCGAGCGCACATCTTGTAGCCGAAGTATCCGGTGTAAAATGGCTGTGAGTACAGCGACAGCGTCTTGGCCGCCACAGCGTCCTGTTTCCGCCTCTTGTAGTCGCGGATCTTCCAGATTAGAGTCCCGTTGTAGCTCGCCGTCTCCAGCACCTGGAACCGCAGGTCCATGTCGGCCAGTCGGATCTCATGGACGCTCAGCATGTCGTCATGACGACTGAGCTGGGTCTCCAGGGAGGCTAAAGAGGGGTGGGAATTCATCAGTTATTGATTACTGATCAGTACCTCTGGACCTCTGCTGCTGCATATGTTCATCATCTGTTAGTGACCAGTTCTTCTACATATTTATTTGTTTTCTGAGAAACAAAACAATTCCGGGAAATTTCATCTCAAATCATCGTGTTATTAGAAGATTTCTGCTTGACCGTCTGCGATTTGCCTGAGAGAAATGTAAATTTAGCTTGATTTATAAATACTTTCTGAGATCATTTAGATATATATATATATATATATATATATATATATATAGCCTGTTGACCCACTTTCAGCACGTTTTTGTTGCACATTTAAATTTGAGACGACAACATGTCAGCAATTATTAAAGATAGAAATGGTACAACTGGTCAAACCTGCTCAATCAGTTACAAAAATTCAATAAAAATAACTTTTTTCCGATTTTCATGACCAAGTATTTCATATTGAAGAGTATTCTGTGTGTTCAGGTTTGTATCATTGTGACTTGGAGCTACATGAGGGTCAGTAAACATCACTCGCCAACTTCTGCTTTATCAGTTTTTATGTTAATCTGGGCTCAAACGTGGGACTTTTCATGACGACTTAAAATCTTTTCATATTTCAGCCATAATCAGAGCAATTATTTGAGCAACTTGTCTAAGATTGTAGATTCTAAATCAATGGCATGATGAGAAATAACAGCGAAAATTCCTGAGATGTTGGTTCCAAACAGCCTCAGATTTCAATGTCTGAAGCAGGTTTTTAAGGAATGTAGGACTAAGAGTGTCTGATACGGTGAAACAGAATGTCCTGTTTAGAACCGATGACAGGAACACAGTTTCGAGTTCACTGTCGGGTTCTAGACACTGCAGCAACGTGTTTGTTTTATTATTTGAGTCAAGTATTGAGTATTTCCAGACGCCGGTGTGAGTTCTGACCCAGAGTGTGTGTCGTGGATCCACTTCCACTGCGTCCTCCTTGTTCCAGAGCGCTGAGCCTCGTCCGGACGTTCTCCAGCGTTCCTCGTAGGTTCTCCACCTCGTCTCTGAGCAGACGGAGAGAACGAAGCTCCAGTTCCACCTCCAGCAGCTTCTCCGAATGAGAGCTCATGAGTTTCTGTGGGGAGAGACAAGACAGACTGTCTGGGATGGAAGGAGGAACCAACGGGTGTGAAGGACACAAAACACCTTCAACAGAGTCAGGTGATACGTGGGGCCAACAAACAGGCTCTCAGACTGCTGAATCGTTTCTCTGTGTTTGAACTGTTAGACTTTTTTCCACATTTAATGTAACTTTAATCCACTCCACAGTGAGCTCCATGAGAGGAGCTTTCGTACCTGCATGGTGGCCAGTTTCTGCTCCATCTGCCGGTTCTTTTCTCGCAGCTCTTCGTTCTGGTTCTCCAGTTCGGACAGTCGGCTGCTGAGAGCAGGAAGCACCTTGTACCTCTCCAACAGCTCGCCTTTCACATCCTCCACCTGGAAACACAAACTTCATTCAGGAAAACTCACACTGGACCCCAAATGTTAACCGCACAGCTGTGGTTGCCTCCGTCTGGTTGTTACGGGTTTATTCTATCTCAAATCATCAGGCTCCTTCTGCTCGACCATCTCTGATTCACTTCAAACTTTTTCACCATAAGCTAATAAAACTTAGATTGGTGTCTGTAGAATTTTAGACTGATATAACAAGTACTTTTTCAGATACAATTTTCTAAAAAAAAAATAAAAAATGCTGGTTGACTCAAACTCAACAGGTTTCTTCTCACATTGAAATCTGAGGCTGTTTGAACAACCATATCTCAGGAACCATTAAAGATAAAAACTTGAAATTTTCGCTCTTATCTCTCATCATGCCGTTGATTCTGAATGTACAACATGGAATAAGTGGATCAGAAATGGAAGAAGAGTAATGAAAAGTTCCATCTTCAAGCTCCTACAAACAAAAACACTGATGATATAGAAGTCAGCGAGTTATATTTACTGAACCACATGTAGCTGCACATCACAATAACAAAAAACTAAACATACAGAATATTTTCAATATCAAACACCTGATCACAAGAAAATTAAAAAGTAATTTACATTGAATTTTCAGAAATGATTGACCAGGTATGACAAGCTGCATCATAAAAAAAAATATTGGTAGACTTTATGGGCATTTTGTAACCTGGGAACAAATCTATCATGCTTGAATTCTTACAATTATTGGAAGAGGTGCTTGAAGGTAAGCTCTTTAGCAATTACTATAAATATACATGTTCTCGCTTTAATGCTTCAAATTTTTCTTCAAATTTCAACTCACCTATAATCAGAGATTATTTGATCTACTTGTCAGATATTACAGATTCTGAATCAATGACACAATGAGAAATAACTGCGAAAAATTCAGGTTTTTGTCTTTTATAGTTCCAGAGATACTGTTGTTCAAACAGCCTCAAATTTAATGTGCGAAAAAAAAATGTGTTGAAAGTGAATCGACAAATATCCTTTTTAATATTCATATTTTGTGCTATAATAATGTCAGGCAAATCAGAGATGCTTAAACAGACATTCTAATAAAGACGTGATGTTTGAAGGAATGTTCCGGTGGTTACCTTGTTCTCTAATGAGCAGTTCCTACTGGCCATCATTCTCAGGTGTTCAGCGGCGACGGTGGACTCATGTTGCCTCATGTCCTGGTTCAAACCCTGAAATGACACACCAGGTTCATGTCGTACACACGGTACATGTGGTCTGCAGAGTACACATTGGTACATGGGCACTGAGGAGACTGAACAGAGGAAGCGGAGTCACCTTGAATGTGCAGCCATAGCGGTGGAACTGGCAGCTGACCTGAGCTTTGGGACAGTCGTGCTGGTGGCTGGACAGCTTAAAGAGAAAATCAATCAATCAGCTGACATCATCAATACTGACAGCGTGGTGTTAATAAACCGTTAGAAGTGTTCAGATCAGTACCTCGCTGCGGGGCAGGGAGGAGAACGAACAGTGGTTGGGACACAACACCGGAAACGCTGGACAAACCGTCTCTTTGTGTTTCTGAAAACAGTTTGACGGAACGACTTGGTGACTCAGCAACGAAACTTTACTGACAGACACAAACTCAGCAGCTCGGATTCAGAGTCCACATCAGTCGAGATCAGCCTCCTGTTCTCAGGTCTGTCCTGTGACGGGGTTCAGTCTCTGAACAGCAAAGACCCCCAGGATGTAAACATCCCCCCCAGAACTCAACCAGGCTCTTGGATCTGTCCTCTGAAACTTGTCCTTTTACCTCCGACACTAACCCTCAGCCCTCCAAAACTAGTTCTAATACCGCTGATGCTAGTCCTATTACCTCTGAAACTAGTCTTGTCTTCTGGCCTCTAACACGAGTTCTCAGACCTCTGATGCTAAACCTCATATCCATGACGCTTGTCCTTTCCCCCCTGATGTTAATCTTATTACCCCTAGTGGTCGTCAATAACCTCTGACGATAGTCCTCTTACCTCGTGCTAGCCATTTTAGCTCTGATACGTGTCCTCTTACCTAATATTAGTCCTCTTACCTCTGAAACTAGTCCTGCTACCACTTAGGCTAGTCTTATCATCCCTGACACTAGTCCCCTTACTCTTGATGCAGGTCCTCTTACCCAAAGTAAGTCCTTCTAGCTCTGACGCTAGTCCTATTACCCCTGACTCTAGTCCTCATACTTCTGAGGCTTTCCTGCTAACTCTGATGTCAGTCCTCTGCTACTAGTAAATTCAGGTGCTGTCTAGCTGTCAGCGGTGTTGTCAGCAGTGATGTCACAGGTTACCTGCAGGTCAGTCAGGGGCATCTTGGTGGCGCAGAACTCGCAGGTGGTCTCTCTGTGTTTACACTTCCAGCTCAGGTGGTCGGGAATCTCCTTCCTCATCATTCGCTCCTTACATTTACCGAGTGGACAGGGAACCTCGAAGAATGGACACACGTTCAGGTGGTCCTGCAGAGACACGGGTGAGACAGGTGGGGTTTCCAGTGATGTCACTTTTACAGCAGGATTCTGTGTTGCTGTGGTAACAGGGTATGGCACTCACAGGTATCTGCTGCAGACTCATCTGCTCCTGACAGCCGTTAGCTTCACTGCGACAGTAAACCCTCAGTGCCATGATCTCCCGATGGCAGCAAACGTCTCTGAAGATCTGAACAAATCACAGGAAGATCAATAACTGATCGATGATCAATAACGATCAATATTAATGTCCGCCCGATGTCACTTCCTGCCTACCTTGTCTTTAAACAGAGACTCCTTGTCAGCTGGACACACCGGGTTCTGATGGCTGCAGGAGAAAACATAAAGTTAGTGGTTTCTTGGCCACACCTGCTGGTCAGAACAGGAACTGCATCCTCCATCTGCAGCTTTACATCACTGACGTTATCAGACAGTCGCAGCCACACTGTAGTGACCTAAAACTCACTGTGGACACCTAAAGCTCAGACACAGCCTCCCTGCCTCAGATCTCCCTCTTCCACTGACATTTTCAAGAAAAACCTCAACACATCCATGTTTCTATTGGCTTTTAGAAACTGATTGTACCAGTTGCTATCCCGTTTTAGTATTGTATTGTATTTTATTTTAAATGTAGATTTTACTAGTTTTATCTTGCCTGCTAAATAGCTAAATTTGATTTTGATAAAAATCACTGCAGCATGAAGCCTCTTGTTTACAGGTGAAGGTTTGAGCAAAGAATGAAAATATCCCATCAGCAACATTAAATAACAACACATTTCACTACCGCTTCAGGGTCTGTATCTGTAGAAAACTCAAGAGATGTGAAACAATATTATTATTTTTAAGCATTTTAGCATTTGCATGTTAAGGAGAAAATGGTGGCTACACAGGTGCTATGCAGTCATAGCAGAGAAACCAGGCAGGCTATAATTATACTCTGTCAACATCATCACTCTGTAAAGAGCCCTGAGACGACTGTTGCTGTGAATGGGAGCTATATAGACAAAATAAGTTAGCAGAAGGTGAAAGCAGAGGTTTTTTCATTTCTCTCTGTGCCTCTTGCTCTGAAGGAGGGTAAACAAAAAATCTTATGATTTATAAAAAATAAATAAATAAATAAATAAATAAAACACCTTGGTATTAACAGCCGTTACTACAGGTAAAGGTGTAGAAAGACAGCACTGGAAGGTGTCGTGCAAAGGTGTGGTTTACAGGAGGTCCATTCAATCCGAGCAGTAGCTTAATATCATCCATCACCTGCTTGTAAGAGGTGAAGCGCTTCATGGGCAGTTGAGGAGTCCCTCACCAAGCCACCTGCCCTCGACTCACCTGAGGATGTCGTTGATGCAGCTCTGACAGAAGCGGTGGCCACACTCGGTCTGCCGGGGCTGACACAGGACCAGCCTGCAGGCCTCGCAGCGGTATTTGTCTTCTGGTTTTTCTACAAAATGATCTCTGAATCCTCCATGAAGCGGCAGGAAACCTGCAGGCACACCTGAGCAGACAGAGGACACCGGTGGTCAGTCACCCCGAGCACAACCAACGGCACTGCAACAGAAGCTTTACTCTGAAACACGTTGAGACGTTTACCTTGTTGGGACGCGGAGTCGCTTGGAGGCCAGGGATTGGCTGGGCGGTGAGAGGGCGGGGTGATGGGAGGGGCTGCCGAGAGGGGCGGGATAAGGGAGGGCGCCACCTGCTGGAGGGGAATCTGCACCTCCCTCCCGTCAGCACTCCGCCCCGCTGACATGACCTGAGGACAAACAAGAGACCCTTCAAACGTCACGTCTGACTTCCATCTGCACATGCTCAGTGGAGCCCAGCAGAGGGGCGAGTGACAAAGTGAATTACAAGGATTTCATTTGTTTTCAGACCCAGTAACTTTGGCTCTTCAATCCACCTTCTTCCACTTATCTGGGGCTGGGGTGCAGAAATCACACTCTCAAAAATAACCTGTGAAGCCATTTTCAGGGTTCAGTATCTCCAGAAATAAAACTCCCACAGCCGTGTCGTTTGGTAAAGACTCAGACAGAATAGTTTCTAGCACATTCAGAGTCAACCAATCCAGCAAAGTAGTAAGTGCAACATTGCGTCCCCAGAAAGTTCCTGTAAGTGTATATATATATATGGAAGGATCCATATTTCTACTAAAATCCAGTCTTTGGTCAACATTTCACCAACTGTTTAGGCTCTAACATCAGTAGAACCTGATGTGGTGAAAGTATGACAGGACAAGGTTCCAGTTTTTTGATATTTTGATGTGATAAAATAGTGAAATGGACTCATTCGTAGAACCACAGAAACAAGGTAACAGGAGATCGTGTTGCATTTAAAGTGACATTCCTTGGGGGATTTACATTTCATTTATTTGCAGAAAGGAAATTCACAAAAGGCATTTCAGTGTCTCTGATGGTGCAACGTCCAGTTTGCATTGTGTCCTCCACCTCACAGCACTGGGAGCTGGGAGATGATGAAATACTGGACCAACAGATATCAACAGAAAAAGGCCACTGGAACAGAATTTTAGTACAACTTTGGCCTCCTGTTTCACTTGTTCAGCTGCTAGAGAATCTGCCAGTGTGTGTGTTCAGTTATCATCGCCTTTGTCTGTGAATGATGACTTGGCATAAAATAACCACATATGAGCACCGATGTTTGTTTCCAGCCAATGAATCCACATTGCCATTTTGACAAAATAAGCAAAAAACTGCAACATTGACTTGCCATATTTAGCACACATCAGATTCGACTGATGGTAGAGCCTCAACAGTTGGTTAAAACGTCGACCAACGACTGGATTTTAGTAGAAATGCGGATCCATCCATATACAGTTGTTTACTGAAGTCACCGTTTTATGCCCAAGTCTGAGCCGGCTCACTGGGCTTCCCCGAGAAGTCAGAAACTAATCAAGCATCACATTCAACCACTGAAATTCACTTTTATGTTCAGGAATGCAAGTAAATAAGTATAATTTGACATCTTAATCAAGAAATAATAATGTGCTTTACTTTTTTTTTTTTTTTGTTTTTTGTCAAACATTAAATTTGAAAACTCATGGATGACAATAAGACAATTATATTTTAGCATTAAAAACATGATTTCAGTTAAAGAGCTTCTACATACTGCTGTACTAACCATTCCAGGAACATGAAAAATGATTTTGGTAATTACCATTAGTGTTAATTCAGACACTGGGTGGTGGTCTGATAAAGTTGTTAAGCGCTGAAGATACGCTTACAGGAACTTTATGGGGCCACAGTACCAGCCTGATTTGAAAATGTTGCCCTTTATTCCATTTTCAAGGACCGGCAAAAAAATAAAATAAAATAAAAAAAGTGGCCCCTGCTGGATCCAACTGATCATTTTAATCTGCTGGAAGCTATTCTGTCTGTGTCCTCCGGAAATGTCCTGGCTGTAAGAGTTTTACTTCCAGGGTTATTGGAGACCGTTTCCCAGGTCTGAAAGCACACCAAATTCTACAAATTTGGCTAAAAGATTTCACAGAACTTAATTTTGTGTCCCAAGCAACAAATAAGCCAACAATGCAGCAACACTGCTCTCTGAACTGACACAAAGTGACCCAAGCGACCTTTAAAACACAAACAGATGTGACCTCTACACTCACACAGACACAGAAACATATCACTTCCCGTCAGTGCTCAGCTGTGGGGATGCTCGGGGCTTTTCCATTCAATGCATCATTAGCACACACACACACACACACACACACACAGACACACACAGACACACACACACACACACACACACACACACAGGTCTGTACTTCTACCTTTGTGAGAACTCTACAGATCAGATTCCAACACTTGTCATCAACCTGTCAAGTGTGAGACCATCAGACTGAAACTAAAAAAACTTCAAAATGTTTGTCAAACTTTAAAACATTTGCACACAATGAGATGTTCGAGGGTCCGGTGTGGTCACAGGAGCTGATTCAGAGCCGACTGAAATCATGACCAGCAGTTTTCAGAAAGAGAAACTGGAACAAGCAACAGCAGAGGGGGTTTTCCTCCACTCACAACCTGCTGCGGGTCAAACTGTGTGCGGCCGGCAGGGGGCGCCACCGCTCAGACACTGAACACCTCACCGCATACCGGCGGTGCGTTCGAGTGCTCGCGAGGTCAAAGATTCTGCAGTTTAGCAGCAGAGTGTTCCCAGCATTAAATAGGAATCATGCAAATCACATGATCGGCAGACTACAGAAAGCACCAGCATGAGTTACCAGTCCAGTCCGATGGGAGACCGGCTACGGGTGCAGGTTTTGCATGGTTTTCTTAACCAACAATCCCCAGCGTCAATGGTCGATTAAACAATAAACTAAATCGTATACAACATTTGTTATTCCTTGCGCTGATACGGCTCGTCATAAGAACAGACGTGTAAGATAAGCTGCTACAACAGGCTCAGGTTGAGCTGGTGAACTCTGGCAGGTCTTTGTTGTCATGGTGCCCTACAATGCTATCTGCCAACGTAAAGTGTGTGTCGTCCCAGTGACCACCTCCTCTGCTCTCCGACGTATTGAACGGCACAAAGCTCCACCTGCTACTGCAGCTAACATACAATACATTTTCTGATATGCACGACCTTCTTCTTTTCTCTTATCGGTTAAAATGTTTCTAATGGGTTAAATCATTAACAGCAATTAATAAATACAGCGTTAATCATTAACATCCCTACTCGAGACGATGCGCGTCTGGTGAGCTCACACACCCGACGTAACGGAGACAGCTGTGATAAAAACGCATAAAAACACCTGAAGTTGCAGCAATTTCACTCCGTCGGGCAAGTCCGGACTGAAACAGGAACAGAACACTAATTATTCATAAATGGCATAAAACATGGTACCAGTTTACACCGACACAGAGAAGTGTAGTAATCTGGTCTTTGAGCCTCTTTGCTAAACTAAGCTACGCTAAGTCCCCAGTGCCATCCTTGGTTCAAAAAGTTGCACTTTTTTTCCATTTTCCAAAGCCAATAAAAACAAAAACCTGGCCTCTGCTGGAGCCATTAAATTATTTTAATCTATTCTATCGATACCCTCACCACATTTCATGGCTGTGGAAGTTGTATTTCTGGAGATATTAAACCCTGAAAATGGCATCTCAGATAAATGGTTGTTTAGAGGGTGAAATTACAAAAAATCACCAAGTCTGAAAACATATGAAATATTCAAAATTCTGCCAAAATTATTTTACAGAACTTAGTTTTGAGTCCTAAATAACAAATAATCAGTAAAACTCAGCTAATCTATGCTATGCTAGCTCTCCATTAGTGCACATAGAAACTCTGGTGATGAAGCTGTGTCACCGTTTCAGTTTGAGACTAAAAAACTATGCAACACACATGAAACGCAGAGTTACACAAGTAGATTTAAAGTCAGATATCACGGCTTTAACGTACTGAAGAATGTTTGGAGCGTCTGAACCAGACAATGACATGAATTATTCCACCATCTGTGAGAAAAAAACCTCCCCCCCAACAAATTCTCTGAACTTCTGCTTTGATTCATCTTTTCAAGTCAGAGTGAAAGTTCACCTGAAGCCGCTTCACTTCAGCCTCAGCAGGTCAGGTGACTTCGAACCCGAGAGGATACGAGGAAGATACCTTCAGGTTTCGCAGACGTGACTGAAGACGAAACAGAAGGATGTTTTCTTACAGCCTCAGTGGAATTTAAAGTGCGCTGATTAACCGCCATCAGTCTGATTGGAGGAAGAGGAAACGGCGCAGTGCAACTGGTGTCTGAGAAGTCTCTCTGTTCATCCGACAGAGCTGAACTCAGATCAGAACGAACACAAACATCACACTGAACCTGAACCCTCAGAGAGCAGCGAGACACCTGATCACGCCTGTTCGGTCAAAGTTGAACAGGAATAACAGTCCTGGGTTTGTTCCTGTCCTGTACAACAGAAACACATTTAGTTTGTCTTACTGAAAAAGTACCAGGATGTCCCACTGCACTCAGTTGGATTTTGCAGTTTGCATGTTTTTCTGGCCAACCAGCACCGTCACAGCGTTTTGCATAACTTTCAAGTCTGAGCCGCCGACATCAGACAGACTAGAGTTATTTCACATCACAGACTGCGACGGTCAGAGTTTAAAGCGCAAAATTATGATGAAATATTCCGTCCTGACTGCATGATCCTGCATGAAACAGACGGCGCAGCGTCAGAGTTTCTGTCGTCATAGTGAAAGCAGATAAAACCCCCTGCTTCGTTCAGCCTTCCTCTACTGTAAATAGACAAACAATCAAACTGCAGTAAAAACCGATTTAGCGTCATCAGCAGGTAACTCTGCTCCTACTGGGCGTGTGCGGAGGATTTAACCAGTGAACAAGAAAGTTCTAACTCGCTGTTTATCTAAAGCTGAGAAAGTAAGAAAACGTAAAAGCATGAAGTTGAGAACTCCTTGCTTCCATCCGTCATTTGTCTGTCGTCTCTCATCTGGACTCGGTGGCAGCAGGCCGGTCCAGTTGTCCTCTGATCGGTGTTACTCGCAGACCAGAGATCTGGGTCGACCCGGGCCTCCTACTGACTAGCGGAATCAAACAGAGCGGAGGTTCTTCAGTAACATCTGCTGGTCAGACAGGAGGTCCAGACCCAGAGCAGCTCAATGACCCCAGAGGAACACCTCAGGCGGGTCTAGAACATCTGGGAGGAACCAGAGACTTGGCTCAGCTCAGGAGAACTGGGTCAGGAAGAAGTAACTGAGCCAAAGCTCAACAGAGAAAAAGATTCAAATGGCTTCAAAGTGCTGTCGGCTTCCAAAAATCTTCCATCTTATTCCTGCCACTGCTCGCCGCTCAGGGATTCTGGGTAACGTAGTTCTGCCAGACGACCAATTAACTGAAGATTCATCCGATTTATCCGAAACGTTGATTCATTTTCTGTCAGTCGACGAATTGTTTCTCCTGATTTTCTGACATTTCGTCATCAGCGTTAAGAACACAGTCTGCAGTAATGACGTTAGTTCCCAGTTAAATAAAATTAACTCTAACAGGAGCATTTCTGGTCACTTTGTTCTGTACTTTCCTGGAAACCTTCCTCATCACTTCCTAAAACCTGCCGCCGTTTCCTGTAAATCCACCAGACGGCGCCTGTTTGGGATTTTAAGGGAAACCTGCAAATGATGCGTCCAGTAAGTGAAAAATACACAAACTAAACAGAATAAATCAAACTGCAGCCGCTAAATGAATTCCACAGACACAGCGTGGATCACCTTCATCTCAACTGAATCAGTAACAGCAACACTTTGGGTTTCACTTCTTACTGTCAGGACTTTTACTGCAATAATCCTCTGAATTCACCATTTTTACTGCATGAGTCCTGCAGCACAGTCACATATTTGGACTTTCACTGATGTCAGTTCATCCTCCTGAACTGACTCTGAGACAAAAAGGAGCTGAATCACTGAATTCATCTGCAGTCCGAGTCGACTTCAGAACAAACTGAAGCACTGATAATGAAGATGACAGTAAAACAGTGGATGAGAAAACAAAACAAAACGAGAGAACTGATTTAAACAATGGCGTTTTGAGGATCACACTGAATTATTTCACCTGATGTTTAAATCAGGTTTCAGTTTTTCTTCCTTCAGTTTCGTCTCTGAGTTCGACTATTCAGGTCTGACTGTAGTTCTGTTTTACGACTGTGTGTCTCTGGACGGGTTTTAACGGCGCCCCTGTGTCACGCTACCGATCAGGTTATCGATCAGGTTTATCGATCCGATCGCTCTTCAATCTGCGAGTGGATGTAAACACACCGACGGCTAATGCTAGCGGCTGGTGCTAGCCGTGTTAGCTTCGTGTTTCTCTGCCGTTTATTCAATAAGGATCATTTTAATTGAGACGCGCGCACACGCGCGCGCAGACACACGATCCAACACACACACACACACGTGAACACACACGGACCCACACACACACACACACACACACACATACACATGAACACACACTGCTAGCTGTAGCATCTTCTGTATGTGGCGGTTACAAACCGCTAGCAGACGGCTAACGTGTTCTCCGCTGCTACTGATGTTCTGCTGATGTTCTGCTCAGGTTCTACTGAGGTTCTGCTCAAATTTTGCTCATGTTTTGCTGCGGGACTCACATGAATCTCCTTCGCAGGCCACAGCTCAGCGGCTCCTCGGCTCGTCGGACTCTCTCCGGGATTCAAACCGTCGACCTGCCGCTGCCGTGGAGCATCCGGGCCTCAGGCGGACTCCTCATGGTCCGGTTCCGGCTCAGGGTTCTCCGGGTTCCGTCGGTTCTGTCAGTCTGTGGGAGAAGTTAGTGGGATCCAGCTCAGAGATCCAGCGGGGAGTACTGGGCTGATCACACTGGAAACCCCCTCCGCTGCTTCCGCCCAGGAAATCCCCCAGCTGCCCGGAGAGAAGCGCACCACCGGGGGGCGCTGCGGACCGAAGGCTGCGGGGGACCTGAGCGGCCGGCGGGGGGCGCTGTCGCTCGGCCTGACAGATGTGACACTCCGGTGCAACAACGGTCCATCAAAGCTGTGTATTTGGAGTATTTTACACCAGAAAAGAATGTGCAATTGCAATATTTTCTGCACATAAAAACCTTATTTACGTTGTGTATTATTAAATTCAGTATTTATTTATATTTGTGTTTTTCTTTTCTTTTCATGAAGTTTGCAGGAGTCAAATTCCTTGTTTGAGTGTACGAACCTGGCCAATAAAGTTGATACCTTTGCTGCTGTAACACTGCAAATTTCCCCACCGTGTGATTATTCAAACCTCTGATCTATCAATTCTTTCTTCAATATTTCCACATCATGTTCTTTCCTCATGATGCCATCTATTGTGTGAAGGTCACCAGTCCCTCCACAGCATGATGCTTCCACCCCCGTGCTTCACAGCTGGGATGGTGTTCTCAGGCTTCAAGCTTCCTCCTTTTTCCTCCAGATGTACCGATGGTCATTAAGGCCAAACAGTTCAGGTTTAGTTCCATCAGACCACAGGACATGTCTCCACTGATGAGGCTCTTTGTCCCTGTGTGCATCTACAAACTGTAATCTGTCTTTTCTATGTTTCTTCTGGAGTGATGTCTTCTTCCTCTCTGAGCAGCCTTCCAGCCCATGTCGGTACAGGACTGGTTCCACTGTGGATAATGACTCTCTGACCAGCTTCAGCAGCATCTTCACAAAGTCTTTAGCTTCTGTTCTGGGGTTGATTCACACATTTCAACCAGAACACTTCATCTCTGGGACACAGAACCGTCTCCTTCCTGAGCGCTATGCTGGCTGGACATTCCCATGGTGGTTATACTTGATATGACTGTCTGAACAGATGAACGTGGAACCTTCAAGGATCTGGAAGTTGTACCCAAGGATGGACCAGACTGGTGGAGGTCCACAGTTCTCCTCCTGATGTCTTGGCTGGTTTCTTTAGATTTTCCATGTTGTCACAGAAGGAAGCAGTGTGTTTGAGGTGAGCCTTAAAATACATCCACAGGTGTTCCTCCAATTAACTCAGATGGTGTCAATTAACCTATCAAAAACCTCCAAAGCCAGGACATCATTATCTGGGCTTTCCCAAATAGTTTCAAGGCATCTTAGTGGATGTAAACTTCTGACTCTGAGGAAAGTAATGAAAAATTCTCTCTCTCATTATTCTGGCGTTTAGCAAATAGAAATAATGCTGGTTATCCTAACTGACCTAAAACAGAAAAAGTTTAGTCTGATTTAATGTCAGACGAAAAGAAAAAAGTTTTTAGAACTTTTTTTTTGTTTTATATTGTATATATTCTTATTAATATATATCAATATTTCCTATGTGCAGAGCTATATGTGCTGCTATAGCTCACCTGGTTGAGCTGGCGTCCCATGTACAGGGCTACAGTCCTGATGTGGAGGTCATGAGTTTCAATCTCGCTCATAGCCCTTTCCCACATGTCCTTCCCTGACTCTTCTCCCCCACTTTCCTGTCTCTCTCTCTACACTATCAAATAAAGGCACAAGGGCCAAAAAAATAACTTTAAAAAAAAAAAAAAAAAATTCCTATGTGCAACCAGTGCCTGTTACCACTATAGGCATATTGTGTATCATTATATTAAGTATTTATCTATATATTTTTTTCATCATATTCCTTAACTCATGTCCCTGTTTTTTTTTGTTCAATCAACTTTGCTGCTGTAACACTGCAAAATTTGCACAATCATTATTTCCTTCGTGCAGTATCTGTCTGCTGCTACTATAGTTGCATTATGTTTTGGTTTATTAAGTACTTATGTACACTTCCTGTTTATTTTTAAATTTTCTACTGGTTTTTCCTACATTCTTCACTACTGCTCCTCGCTGCGGTGACACTGAATTTCCCTGCGGAAGGATTATTTTATTGTATTTCATCTTATCAGAGACTGCAGGGACAGCACAAGACTCCCAGGAGGCGCTATTTCCCCCATATATGACCAGTGAAGGTAGGAAAGTAATCTATTACAAGCACAATCCATTTAAATCCTACTTCATTAGAACTACAAGGGAACTCAGCACATAATGTAAAAAGTAAAAGCTCTTATTTCTTCTGTGACTGATAATTAATCCTAACTCAATAGAGATTTAGCAGCATTTTCCCGTTGGAGCCGTTTTAACTACTTGTAATTTATTGGGTCATGTGACTAACAATGAAACTGGAACTGGAAGTTGCTCGCCTCCCGGAGCGCACCACCAAAACAGTTGCCCCATCTCTATGTTGAAGGGACACCGTCACTACCTCCTGGGCTTAGCTCCACCCAGGATTATAGTGATTAGTTTAAAGAAAAACAAAGTTTCTGATAATGAGGTGCAGCAGACCATTAGACACAGCACTGGAGAATGGTCTGGCTATGCAAGACTACTGATGAAGTGAAAATGAACTGAACAATCAAAGACACATTTTTCTGTGTCCACCAGGAGGCCCAAGTATTTCCAGCTTTAATGCAGCTCTGTGACAACAATTAGTAACTAATGTGATGAATAATTACAACCAGCATCCATTATCTGGCCCAGTTTCACTCAGCTTCACTGTCACTGCCGTCTGACTCTGTAAGACCTGATATATCGTGTTATGAAGAAATATAAGTAATTCCATAGCAGAAATAAAACACGCGACATGATTCAAGTACATCAATTAATAAATACGAAACATTAGCTCAACAAAAAAAATAAAAGAAGATGAACGTCAGTGGAAACCTGACCTCTGACCTCACAGTGAAGCTGAAGAAGCAGGAACGACACACTTTGCTGATGAACTTTGGTTTTATTGTCTTTCCTCTAAAAAGTTCATAAAATTCAGAAAAACTGGATGATGTCATCAGGACAGGCCACGCCCCCTACCTGAGAGACATCATCCAATATGGCTGCTTCAGTTCTACACGTCCACCTTCAAACACAGACAGGATGTAAAGTAAAAGGAATCCAAAACAAATAAAGAATAAAAGCAAAAAAAAAAAAAGAGGCTCCTCCCCCTTTGATTGACAGGTCCAGTCTGACTCCTGATTGGTCCAGAGAGCAGCAACGACAGGTGATAGTTCATGACACAAACCTGACCAATGGTCAGTAGAAGCCCAGCTGATAGACTGAGAGAATAAAATAAAAATCACATAATAATAAAACAAATGACATCATAGAAACCAGAGGGGTGGGGCTTGAGGCAGGGGCAGGGCATATAACAGGTGGGCGGAGTCTGAGGTCTCAGGAGGGCAGAGGCTTCTCAGCATCCACAGGTGAGGAAGAGTCCTGCAGGAGATCAAAACACAGTAACTGAGCTTTTGACAACAAACCAGCTCAGGTTGAACTAGTTAAACACTTTAAGTTAGTTTGTTTCGTTTAGTTTGGTTGGTTAGTTTTGCAACTTCAATTAGTTTACATTAGTTTGGTTAGTTTTGTCAGGTTTGTTAATTTAGCAAAGTTAGCTTATTTGAGTTTGGTTAGCAAGCTTGGCAAATAAATTAGCTAAGTAAGTAAAGTAGGTTTAGTTAGTTTGGCAAGTCAATTTGATTCAGTTAGGTTAGTGTGGCTAGTTAAGATAGTTTAGGTAGGTTGGTTTGTTACACAAGCTTAGTTAGTTTGGCATAGTTAGGTCAGTTTGCCGAGTTCAATTATTTTGACAGGCTATGTTAGCTTAGTTATTTCAGTTAGGTTAGTTTGGTGAGTTAATTTAGTTAGTTTGGTTAGTTCAGACAGATCGCCTAATTTAGCTACTTTTGCAAATTAACTTAATATAGTTAATTTAGTTTTTTTGGTAGGTTAAGTTAGTTTAGTTAGTTAATTTAGCAACAAGTTAGGCTGATTCAGTTAGATAGGTTAGTTTGGTTGGCTTAGCCATCGTAGTTAATTTAGCTAATTTGGCAAGGGCTATATAGTAGAGAACAAGTTAACTATGACTCCCAGGGTGCCTTCCTGCCAGTCGTGGAACTTTCCATACTGTCACATGATGAACTGCAAACAACTGCAACAAACCTGGATGATGTCACATGACGCACATCTCTCTATGATGTCATACCACGTACACCTGTACAGCACCTGAGGACCTGCACACGCTGAGGTTTCTGGGATTTGTAGTGAACGTAAAACTCACCTCTTTTGTCTGCTTGGCGGCGACCTCGTCCTCCTCGGCCGGACACACCTCCATTTTTTCCTCCATCTTGTCGTCCTCTCCTCCCACATCTCCCCCGCCTCCCCCCTCCATCCCGTGTTCGGCCTCCCACTCCTGAAGAACCTCGTCCAGGTTAAACCTCCGTCTGTAGTTCACCAGGAAGTTCTTCACCTGGACCACCGACTTGTTACCAATCACATCTGAGATCGCCTGGAAGTCCCGCCCATACTTCCTGATGGCTGCATAGGAAAGAGCCACTGATCAGTTATAGATTTTAGGATCTTATTAAGGCTTTGACACATTCAAGGCTGCGAGGTCACCTGCTCACAGCTAGGTCAGGTGTCAGGTCACCTGCTTACAGCTAGTTCAGGTGTTACCTTGTACAGCCAGCAGCTGCTCCTCTGTGGTCCAACGGTTGTTGAACTTCTGATTCATCTGAAACAAAAAACAGCAACACAAAGACATGAAGGTCAGCAACATCTTCAGTGTGCTTCTGTATGTTGGTGCATTGCTGTGTTTCTTTATCTGGTTGCTCTTCTGTATGTTGCTGCTTTGTTGCCATAGTTACCTCAGTTTGCCGGAACTCATCGACTCCTGAGCTGAGCTTCTCCTTCAGGGTGCTGTTTGTCTGTTTGATGGTCTGTATCTGAAACAGAGGGAGAGACAGGTGAGCAGACACGTAGACACACCTGACCAGTGACGACAGAATGGTCATCACTGGTCAGGTGACAGATGGTCTGAATCTGAAACAGACAGACGGGTAAACACACCTGTCTCTTGATGGACACCAGCTGACAGTCCAGGTGTCTGATGAGTCCCTGAGCAGACGAAGATGACAGAGAGACGACGTCCTGCTGGTTCAAAAACATTCCTCTGGGAGGACGTTTCTTCATCCGCTGGGACGCCTTCCCACCTGTCTACAGGTACACAGAGACTGACAGGTTACTATCACCTGTCTACAGGTACATAGAGACAGACAGGTTACTATCACCTGTCTACAGGTACTAACAGGTCAGGTGATATTCAGGTGTTCTTACCTTCAGACCTGAAGCTGGTTTTACCTCCGGCCTCTCTGATGCAGAACTCACCTGCAACCAGTCAGACAGGTAAATACGTCAGTAAAACGCAAACTAATTGTCAGTAAACAATAAACAAACCATTAGTAAACAGTAGACAAACATCAGAAAACAGTCAGTAAACAAACAGTAGACAATAAACAGTAAACGAGCAGGCAGAAAAGTAAACAAACAAGCAGCAGCCTGTACAGTCAGTAAAGAGTCAGTAAACAGTAAACAACAACTGAACAGTCAGTAAACTGTACGCAAACAAAAACCAATCAGCTAATAGTCAACAAACAGCAATCAAACAGTTCACCTCCTTCTTGTAGTCTTTATTTGCATCAAACTCGGAGTCGCTGGGAGGATTTCCATTACTTTCTTCAACTTCATCGTCACTGAAACAGAAACAGCTGATAGTTAGTCTTATCAACCAATCACAGCACAGAGTTCGCCAGGGAGGGTCACACCTGTGATGCTGGTTTACCTGTTATGCTACCTGTGCAAGCTGTAGCTCACCTGTCGTCTCGCTCTCTCTTGTGTTTTCGGGTTTGTCGGTCCATCAGACTGGTTTTACTGCGACTCTTCTTCCAGGAGTAATAAAACCGAACCAGACTGGCCATCGACTTGTCAGGCAACTGCAGACACACAGTCTCCGATGAGCTACTGGGTAAACTGGTGACACTGGTTATGGTGAAGTACTGGTCATACTGGTACCATCTGCTGGATGCGGTGGAAGCTCTTCCCGTGGAAGCTGAAGGCCTGTTCGAACAGAACTCGGTCCTCCACTGTCCACTCATCAGGAAACGGAGTGAAGTTTGGCAGGTCGGCTAGAGACTTCTCTATGTTGTGTTTATGCCAGAAGAGCATCCCGAGAGCCTGAGACAGGTGAGACAGGCAGACAGGTGACAGAGGATACTTTGTCTGCAAGATCTGAGGCAGTGATTGGTTGGCATATTTGTGAACTTTTCATGTGAACTGAATCAGAACAAACTAACAATCACTAATAATCATATTTTCTGTTACATGTACTTCAGGCTCTGACCTGCTCCATGTTGTATCCGTGTTTCTCTTTGGCGATGGCGATGTACTCGTCCACTGCAACAGAAACACAAAGTTCACGGCTGAGTTCACATGAAACAAAGTCTTCCATTTAAAGTGTGAGCAGAAGGAGTTTCTTACACTGAGTCTGATTCAGGCAGCTGCTGGGAATCCAAACCAACATCCCCAAATTCTCTCTGAGCTGAGCGGCCTGGGCCACATCTGCAACACACACACACAGGTACACAAACACACACCCAGACATACAGCATTGTCATTAAAATGATCTTCAGTGAGACATATTAGAGCATAAACAGAATTACAAGGTAGAGAACCAGTTCTCCTGATTAGACGAGTCACAGCATTTCTGGTTCTTTATAGGTGACTTCCTTTAATATCTAGCTAAGCTAACAGGCTAAGTGTTAGCATCAGATCAACCCTGATCAGGTAACAATGAAGGTGATCACAGAGCCTGTAAACTGACTGACACAACAGAAGTCTGTTCCAGAACCAGACCAGAATCAGTAACACACATGCAGCAAAACCCAGTACAGTAGACTGGAACCAGTAAGGCACGTACAGCTGAAACCAGTAGAGAGGATTGAAAACAGTAAGTAGACTGAGACTAATACACAACTGGTACCAGTACAGCAGACTGGAAGCAGGACAGAGGACGAGGACTGGCACAGTGGACTGGGACTAGTACAGTATATTAAAACCAGTACAGTAAATTGGGACCAGTACAGTAGACTGGGACCAGTACAGCATATTAAAACCAGTAAAGTAAACTGGGACCAGCTGGAATCAGTCGCATGAACTTTGCTGCTGCGTTGTTCGAGGCTACCAGTCCGCCTCGAGGCTACCGAGCTGATTTCCAGACTTACCCGGGTCAAAATCTGGAACCACGGCCTGGTACTGCGGTCCGACCCGCATTCCTCCTCCACCTGCACACACACAGTACCGGGTCAGTACTCAGAGTACTTAGATTACCGGCAGTACCCGCAGTACTGGGTGACCGAGGCTACCCACCATGCTCCTCGTCGCTGCTGGATCCTGAACTTCCTTCTTCCCAGCAGCTGTTAGCGCTGGTTCCATTACCGGACAAGTTCTTGCCGCCCGGGTTCGCTGCTGTTCCGGGCCCGCTGCTGCCGCTGCCCGCCGGGGCTCGGCCTCTCCTCTTCCCCGGAGCCTCCGGGTTTCTGTCCAGCATCGCCGGCATCAGGAGGACGAAGGAAGCTCGGGCTAGATGCTAACTGCTGCTAACTCCGGCTAACACTTAGCCTGTTAGCTTAGCTGCCTTCCGAACTGAGCCCAACCGGACAACCAGTCCTGGAGCTGATCGGACAGTTCGGGTCGTCCAGCGGCGGGAGGTTCGGGTTCGAAGCAGAAACTTGGAGGACAAAAGTTCCGACTGTAGAGAATCGATCTGCTGCAACTACAGATGCTAACAGCTACCTGCTAACTGGAGCTCCGCGGAGTCAGAAAAGTTCCGGAACAAACAGCCGGAACTAGAACAAACCAGATAGAACCGGACCGACACCGGGACACCGACCCAGACCCAAACACGGCTACAGTTACGGATACACAGTCAATACAAGCGATCAGAGAGCGAAGAGTGTGGAGATGATCGATCCCGGAGGCGGAGTGGAGCGTGTGTGATCTCTGCTGCCATCACAGGTCACCAGGAACACTGCCGATAACCTGTCGATAATCAATCACATCCAAATATAAACAGGTCACCAGGAACACTGCCGATAACCTGTCAATAAGCAATCACATTCAAATAGAAACAGCTCATCAGATCACTACAAAGTGTCAAGAATCAATCAATGATTAAAAGCATCTGTAAACAATAAGCATTCCTCATTATTATGAAAATCTACCAGCAAACATCTGTAAACATTATTCTAAATGTCTATAAACAACAAACATCCGTAAACAGATATTTGTAAACAGTAAATACTTGTAAACATGACAATAAACATCTACAAACACAAACATCTGTAATAAATACATGTAAAAATAATAAACAGCCTTAAATGGTAGATAACTAACAATGATTGAAAACATCTGTAAACATCTGTAAATAAAACTCTGTAAACACTGATTTAAAATAACTGTAAACAACAAACATCTGTAAATAAATGACATTTATAAACATTATTATCAACATGTGTAAACATGATTTAAAAAAAGCTGTAAACAAACATCTGTAAACATTATATGACATTTATAACTTCAGAACAATAAAAACATTTAGTTCATTTTGCAGCAGCCGTCACCAGAGTTCTTCTGTCGTCTCTTCTGTTGATGTTCAGACTGCAGCTGCTCAGAGTTCAGTCACCTCAACTCTGAAGGAAACATGAGGAGGAATGTCAACAGTCACCAATCTGGGTCTCTGATTTCTTACGTTTTATTCAGGATTTACAGTCGTGAACAAAAGTTCACATACGCTCATAAAGACCACATCATTTTCTATGATGGAATCACTGAAACACAAAAATCATTCATTTTGGTTTAATCATAGTTTTATTAAAGGTCTTCTGGACATTTGGTAACAACTACTGGATCAAAAATATATATACAGCAATGCTAATATTTGGCAAATGTTCTTTGTCCATGTTCTCCTCAGTTGGGTTCTTCTGGTTCCGTCCACCAGCTTCTGGTTCATCTTTGACTCCTCTGGACAGAATCGCTGCAGTTCAACTAAACTTGTCGTCTTTCTGACTCAGACTTGTTTCTTCATCAGTCCACAGGTTCTGGATGGTTTCAGTCAGGACTTTGGGGAGACCAGTCTAGAACCTTCATTCCAGCCTGATGGAACCATTTCTTCACCACTTTGATGTGTGTTTGGGCTCATTGTCTGGTTGGAACATCCAACTGTGTCCAAGATCAACCTTCTGATGATGGTTTGAGGTTTTCCTGAACGTCACTCATTGTTCCATTTTCAAGCCCCAGAGCATGATGCTGCCACCTCCATGCTTGATGGTAGGTTTGGTGTTCTTGGGGTTAAAGGCCTCACCTTCTCTCCTCCAGACATGGTTCTGCTCAGTGTTTGTTCCATCTGACCACAGAACTTTCCTCCAGAAGGCCTTTTCTTTGTCCATGTGATCAGACTTCAGTGGAGCTTTAAGGTTCTGCTTCTAGAGGAAGAACTTCCTTCTTCATCAGCCTCTCAGCTCATGTTGATGTCAGACCCTGTGGACACTGACAGCTGTGTTCCAGCAGCTTCTGATCCATCCAGAGCTGCTTTCTGCTGGTTCCTGGTTGACTCTTGACCATCCTGACCAGTCGTCTCTCAGCAGCAGCTGGTAGTTTGTGTTTTCTTCCTGATGGTGGCAGTAACACAACTGGACCATGATGGTTCTGGGATCTGAAGGTGCTCTGAAATGGCTCCAAGTGACTTTGACTTGTTCAAGTCAATGATTTGTTTTTCTAGATCTTTGCTGAGCTCCTCAGACTTTCCCACTGCAGCGTTTGTGTCTAATGAGTGGAGCAGAGGGTTCTGTTGAAACTGAATCAGAGGAGTCAGCAGCTGTAGTCAATCACAGTCACTCAGGAGAAGTTAAGAGGAAATGAAACTGAGAAAATTTGATTAACACAACTTTCTACATCATCAAAACTGATAATTCAAGTTCTTGTGTGTTTATTTTTGACCAAGCAGAGTTTATCTTTCCAGAAGACCTCTACCTAAAATAAACTTATTAAAGGAAGACCTGAGCGTTTTCTGGGTCACAGGCAGGAGGACCGAGGAGACGAGGAGACACAGAACGATGAAATTAAATGAGCTTTAAGTCTTTACAGCCTCAGTAGTTGATAAATCTTGTTTGCTGCACTGTGATTGGAGGACACTAGCTGTGTGTAGTTACCTGGAGTCACCAGCAGGAGGTGCTGCTCCATAGGCTTTAATTCACACCGCTGATCTCTCTTTTCGTGTAGTACTACAGCAGAAGTACACAGCAACAAGAGAATGAAGTACTCGTTTAAGTACAAGTCCTTCAAGCTTGTATTTAATTACAGTATGTGAGTAAGTAGTACCTGCTGTTGTTGTTGTTTCTGCACGTCTTTATCAAATAACCTATATTATTTAAAAACATTTGCTTCTGTCATCGCTTTTTCGCTGCAACTTCACGTTTTCATTTTTTTGTTCTTTTGAAGGAAAAGTTAATTTTTTGTTCTTGAGAGTAAACAGAAAGCTTTAAAAACATGTTTGTGTTTGTTTACAACTGACTACAAACAAACAAACATCCTGCTGAGTCTAATCACATATCGACAATCAGGAGAATTAGATATTCAGAGCTGACTGTGTTGTTTACTGTCCTCATTAGAAGCTGCTGCAGTCTGAAGGCCACTATGTTCACTATGTGAGACACTCGACCCTCCCGAGCCCCCGGACCTCGGCCTGTAGATAAACAGCCACACATGGAGCTGGAGGCGGGAGCAGCGGGGGAGGAGGGGTGAGGAGCTATAAAAGTCTGGTGGAGCTGAAGACAGAGGTTTGACGGAGACACCGTCTGCAGACCGGCTCCCAGCTTGACTTATCGATCCTCGCGTCTCCTGCAGGGCAGGTGTTCAGGTCGAACCCCAGGTAGATTCTAGTGTCTTCAAAAGTCTTCAGGAGTCCACAGGTGTTTCTTCAGGAGCCCTCCAGAGTCCTCCAGTGTCCTCAGTTGTGTCCTCAGGTGGGTGCCGTGATGCCGTGGGTTGTGTCCTCTCAGCTGGACTGCTTGTCTTCGTCTCCATCACAGCGAGAATGCGAACGGACAGCGTTTTCTTTCTACTGCGCCGTGCGCGAGCGGCTGCCGGTCTGGCTGCTGGAGGACATGCGCACCATGGAGGTCTTCTGCTGGGAGGATGGACACCCGAGAGCCTTCCTGCCATCTGAGGCGTTGCTGTACGCCCTTGTGCACGACCATCAGGACTACGCACGCTACCTGCTCAACAGGTACTCAGTGAGCGCGCTCAAAGCGCCGCGATGCAGCTTCTGCTGCTGTCGCAGCACCGGTGCGCCACATCTAAACGTGGCGGTACGCTACGACCGTGTGGCGATTCTGGGGATGATGGTGGAGGCTCTGAAGGACTGTGGTGTGCAGAACCTGCGCCAGGAATATCTGGACAGCTGCGGCGGCTGTGCACATGTTGCGGATGCAGGAAAAACTGCAGTGCAGCTGGCGGTGGAGCTGTCGCATCCTGAGTGCCTGTTGCTGCTGCTGGTTCAGGGTGCTCGGCCTGAAGGCCTCGACGCTGCGCTGCAAAGACTCGTCTCCTGCGACGTGTCGGAGCGACGCCATGCTCAGCGCTGCCTCGACTTCCTGCTCCTCTTTCTGCCCGAACCGCCACTGCTGCGCCGCCTACAGGACGAGTCGCAGCGCTGGCAAAACCTGCTGGGAAACGAAGTGTTTAGCTGGCTGTGCGGTCTGGCCCCACCCCCTCTCCTGCTGCAGGCGCTGCGGTGTTTGGCCCGGTCTGGACCCGACCAGATCAGCACGCTGCCAGACTTCCTGCAGCCACACAGCTGGCAGTGACATCACCTGTTACCATGGAAACAACTCTGTAATTGGACAGTTTGCTGATGATGTAAATAAAATGTAAATAGACTTCAACAGACCTGAACTGAAACTTTACGGGATTTTGGACCCTGTGGAGAAGCTGATGTTAGAAACACGGAAGTCACTGACTCTGGAGATACGAGGTTGCTGTGTTAAAAATGAAGGACTGAAAGTCTCAGTTTGACGTTGTCACATCAGGTTCATTGATCACCTGAAGTCTGTCGAGTTTCTGACCTGAAAGTCAGAAGTGGGTGAAGCTGTGAGTCTGCAGGTTGCAGCAGATTAAAAACACAACGTGACCTTTAACTGAGCCCTATGCAACAAACTGACCTGCAGAGATGTCGTTCTGCAGAACACATGCACAATCTGACATGTTTCTACCTCAGTGTCTTTAAACATATTGGGATGTAAATACGTTTTTCTGATTAAAAGTGTAAAAAAAAAAAAGTGATTTTGTGTTTGTTTATTCCTGCGTATGTGTTTGTAAAGCAGGTCATTCCGTGAATAATCTGTCAGTGCTCCTGACCTCCTGAGAATCAGCTGATGTGCTATAACTTCGGCATACTTCTTGAAGCAGAGTTCTACCTTCATACTGTGAATATTTCTGGAGTTCCAGACCCTCGAAGTCCATAGAGGAGGGTCCAGATTCATTACTTTTTAAAGGACTTTCTCTATCATTTCTGAGTCTCAGAACTTCACCAGTACAGCAGACAGACACATTTTAGGAGGAAAAACACATCTGAGTTCTGGTAAAAACCACAACCAAATGAATTTTACATCCACTTGAAGTGTCACAACCTAAAGACAAAATCTGGTGTTTGTTCAGGGTGACATTTTCTATAACTAACTTTAAGCATCAATATCACGGGGTATTTTCTAATATAGTCAGTAGTTAGTGATTGTACAGGAGTTATCACGGTTTTAATGCCTTGAGGAAATAGAATGTCAAACTTTTAACTTCGCAAGTGTTAAAATATGATTATTAGAAATGAGTACCAAAAACACATGGTACCAAGTGTAGGTAAAATGATCCGTTCATTGTCTAGAACTGGTTCTGACCAACCACCATCACACATGCTGATATGAGCCTGGAAAGTTTACCCAGAACGCACTTTGTAAAGTTTTCTCTGGTGAATGATCAGAAACCAGAAACACATCCAGGGTACCAATGATTGTTTCTCTGATTCTATGTCATAGACATTAAACTGATCTGGAGTCTGACTGGTACCACTATGAGACATCCCATAATACTGATACTACCAGCTGCTGACAGAGGACATGAACACAAACCCTATATAGTCTTCAGACTGTGACTCCTGGATGGATGTAGAACTGATCTGGTGTCAGGTTCTACCAGAACTCAGATGTGTTCTTCCTCCTAAATGTCATGTGTCTATCTGCTGTACTGATGGAGTTCTGAGGCTCAGAAATGATGGAAAAAGTCCATTAAGGTGAAATCTGGACCCTCCTCTGTGGACTTGAAGGACCTGGAATATTCACAGTATGAAGGTAGAACTCTGCTTCATTAAATAAAGTTACTGTAGATAAAGAACCAGCTGATTCTGAGGGGGTCAGGGAGGAACTTTTCATAGATTTGGTTGATTTCATAAGGAATTACTCAGCAGCTGATCTCTTAATGTTGACAGTTTAGTTTGAGCAGGTGGACACAAGCAACAAAAGCAAACTGGTAAATGGAAGGTTGAATAAAACCAGGACTTGGCTGTGAATAGGAGCATAGGAGCACCTGTACAACCCTGTTGATTTGATACAGAATGACCTAAATGATCCCTGGTGCTGATCAAGAACCTAATCAGTGACCTGAGGTGACCTCAGTGTTTAAACAGGTTTATTAAGTTAATGAATGAAACACAAGAGGTGAGTTTACACTGGATCTAATTGGCAGAATATCCAACCAATCAGCTAACAGCAGGATGACATCACTACGGAGTCACACCTGCTCAGTTTTTCATGGCAACGCTACCGGAGACAAGTAGGTGTTAAAGGGCCACTCTGTGTTTTTGTTACTGTTTTAGTCCGTTAGGGATAAACCCAGTGTAGACCCAGACCTTACTGCAGGTCCAGAGTTCATCAGGGTCCATCAGGTTCCAACAGGGCCCATCAGGGTCCATCATATTCCAACAGGGCCCATCAGGGCACATCAGGGTCCATCAGGTTCCAACAGGGTCCATCAGGATCGACCAGTCCATAAGATTCCATCAGGGTCCAACAGTGTCCAGGTTTTGTTTTAAATCTTGTTTCAGGAGGATCTTTGTGGTTTTCTTGTTTCTTAAACAAATGTTTATTAAATGTTATTTTTCACATCTTTCCATGCCGCAGTCCCAGTGGGCGGGGTTTTTGTCTCTTACCGTGGTAACCAAGAGACAGACAGGTAGCATTTTCTAAGAGAGGGAAACCAGCAACATCAATCAGACAGAAGACATGACAGTCAACTCCTTGTCGGTCTGAGTGTAATGGTTCAGTCTAATCCAATCCGCTTCATACCAGTTTGGTCCCAGTGACAACCTGACAGGGGAACCTGGTCGGCACTAAGAACTAAAAACTTTTCATGTTTTAGTTTCTCTTTAAACAAACCAGGAGGGCAATATTTCATAAAACATCACAGAAGAAGAAACTAGTATGACAGACGGACTTAGTTTAATGCCCCCATTTGCTTAAAGCTAACTGTGATACACAATCAGTAACTGGAAACGTGCTGAAAGAGAAGTTGTTATAAATACTTAGATCCCCACTGACCTTTCGTGTTAATGCTCCTATGCTGTGAAATGTCCCTTTAAAGTCCTCTTACAGAACCAAACTGAACTAAACTGGACCCACTGAGAACAAGTTCAGACTTATACATATTGTTCTAACTTGAATCCAACTACAGAAGTCCTTAAACTCAGTTTGAACCAGTTTCAAACAGACATAATCAGGCTGCACTTAATTATGAAAAGTCCCTTTAAAATCCTCATACAGCACCAGACTGAACCAGACCGGATCGGACTGAAATAAACTAGAATGCAGTCAGGACCAGTAAGACCTCACTAAACTGAACCAATTACCAATTTGAAATTAACTGGAATAAGTGTTAGCAGATTTAAAACCTACAGAAACCAGTTAGAACCACTTAGAATCAGACAGGACCAGTGGCGAGCAGTCAGACCCAATAAGAACAAGTTAGAGTCAGTTAGATGCAGTAAGGACCAGTATGACCACAATGAAATGAATTAGAAGATCTGATTTCAAACCAGTTTAAACTGAACTTGAAACTAACCTATAGGCAACAGAAAAAGCCAAAAAACAGAACCAGTAAAAAAAAAAAATACAACAACAAAAAAAAAAACAGAACTAGTCAGAAAACGTAGTCCTCCTCCCTTTAGAGATTAAAGTGCTTCCTGTTAAAACAAAAATAAAACAATGTTCATTTCCCAGCAGCCACCTGGCCTCCCTGTGTGGCAGTCATCACAGGAAGTGATGTCACCTGCCCACTTCCTGTCTGCCCAGAGGGAAGTTTGTAAACAGGAAGTGTTGTCACCGTGACATCACAGCATTCTGCCAGGTGAGTCCAGACCAGGCCGACCAACACCAAACAGGTGACACAGAGTGTCAGATGAGCTCCCACTCGTCATCAACATCCTCCCCTCCAAGGGCGGGGCCTGAGGGGGCGGGTCTACTGGGAGTATGTGGGAGGAGCTTTGTCAGTCGCCGGGACAATCCACCAATCGGAGTCACCGCCCACAACTCGTCCTCAGGAGTCACTGCAAAGAGAGAAAGAGACACATCTGAGATGCACTCGAGATACACAAGCATGAACTTAGTTTAAAACCAGTCTCACCAGTATTAACCCAGCACAAAACCAGTCTTACCAGTGAACCAGTTGGCGCTTCCAGGAATCTTCTTCCAGTAATCTCCTGCAGGGTTTCTTTCAGAGACGCCGTAGCGTCGAGCCAGATCTCCGTTCACACAACGAACCCACACAGTCCGACAGCTGAGAACCAGCTGACTGACCGCCAGACCTACAGACACACACCAGTAAAACGACTTCAACCAGTCAGAGCTGAATGCTGGACAGACATGTTCACCACACAGATGTAAACACGTGAGTACCTGGTACCAGTTCCCAGTCCGTCCCAACAGGCATCTCGTCACTGAGTCCAGTTCTAACGAAGACACTTCCTCTGTTGTCCAACGCCCAGAGGAGACGGTCATTAGGACTCGTCTGAATACTGACCAGCTGCACTCCTATTGGCTGCAAGCACATGACATCACAATTACCCGGAGAAGTGACACTGATACAGTGTACAGGTGATTCTATAAGGAAGCAGTGCGTTACCTGCACTGGTGGTTCTATATGGATGTAGTATGTTACCTGTACAGGTGGCTCTCTACTGATGCAGCCTGTTACCTGTACAGGTGGTTCTTTGTGGATGAAGTGCGTTACCTGCACTGGTGGCTCTATAAGGATGCAGTATGCTATCTGTGCAGGTGGTTCTATATGGGCCTGTACAAGTGGTTCTCCTTTGATGCAGTATGTTACCTGTACAGGGGGTTCTATGTGGATCCATGCCGGCAGCATCATGCTCGGGTTCAGTGGTTGGGTTCCGACTCTGAAGTAAACAACTCCCCGGCTGTCCACGGCCCAGACGTTCTGACTGCCGCAGCTCACACTGACCAGACGAACACCTCCTGTAACACACAGGTGACATCTTTCTTTAACGCACCTGAATGCACAATCACGTCTTAATAAAGCATGTGCAAAACTTCTCATGGGACACTGGAACAACAAGAACCCTTGGACCTCCTCAAGGTCCAGTTGACCCACTTCTTGCACTGGAACCCCTGAAGGATCCTTCAAACAACCTCATAGAGTCCATAGCTGAGGATAAATAGCCAATCCGTGGGCCACCTAGTAGCTCCTGGAACCACCTGGTACCTCCTGGAACCACCTGGTATCTCCTGGAACTGCCTGGAGTCCAGAAACACTTCCACGAGAGTCGGTTGTGAGGTCATGGTGCTATTTTGCCGGATGTTTATTCAGCGTTCATTAGGTCAAGTGCAGCGCAGGAGGAACGTGAGCAGAGTCAGGTGTCGGAACAGATTCCAGGTCAGTCTGTTTTAGGGGAACAGCCTCATATTTCACTGTAGACTGACAGAACGTCCGGCTCACCTTTGACCTCTGAGGCCTCGAAAACGTGATGCTGCTGCCGCTTTCGTGCTTTAAATCAAACAGTAAGTAAACAAACAGGAAGAAAACATGATCAAAATAAACGGACCTTCAGCAAAGAACCTGAATCAGACTGAGTTTACATCATCTGAACATTACAGGAAGCAGCGAAAACATAAAGGAGACAGAATTATATCAAGAGTTAATGTTTTAAAGAGGTCTGGGATTATTTTCAGCAGCGGATTATTTAATCTGGTGCTCGGACGACAAAACTATAATAAAAGTCGAACATCTAAGACTGAAACACTGGACTTTATGTAATTTCTGTTCTTCCCTCTCAGTCATTTTCATTTAACAGCTGCAGAGTCACCACTCACATCTATATATTGATAATGTGATTAGCACACTAGCAACAAGCCTGCTTTTTGGCCCTGACCCCTAAATATTGATTATGTGCTGATACAAAGTCTGATCTGATTCTGCATCTGACACATTTAAATAACAGCGTTAATCGTCAAACTTAGAGTAACGTGAAGCGATTTGGAGACATTTTCCTTTGAGTTTATTAAATACCTGCAGCATCAGAGAGTCCCTTGCTGCAGGAATAAAGTACGATTAAGAGTACTACTGCAGTACTGTTAAAGTAGTACTAGTACCTAACTGTGTCACACTTCTTTCTGCCCTCTCCCTCGCAGCAGTATTACAGCAGTATTACAGTAGTAGTAGTGCCTGACAGCATTGTAGTTCCGGTCCCCTTCCTTGCTAGAGTATTACAATATTAGCAGAGTAATATTGCAGTAGTATTATAGTAGTAGTAGTACCTGACAGTGTCATACTTCCAGGCCCCTTACTTACTGCAGTATTACAGTAGCATTGAAGTATTAGTAGTACCTAACTGTGTTGTACTTCTAGCCCTCTTCCTCGCTGCAGTATTATAGCAATATTCCAGTAGCACTAGTACCTGACTGTGTTGTACATCCAGTCCATTCCCTCACTGCAGTATTACAGTAGTACTAGTACCCTACGGTGTCATACTTTCAACACTCTGCCTAGCTTTAGTATTATAGCAGTACTACAGTAGCAGTAGTACCTGTGGCTGTCAGGTTGATGTTATGTAAACAGTGAACTGTGCTGTCTCCTGTGTGAGCAGAGTTTAACACAGAAGATTATGTCGTTCAGCTCCTGTTACTGAGCGCGCTCAGTCCTGCTGCATGTCTGCAGACTCTGTGTCAGACAGTCATGTGGTCGCTGATAGCGAGAAGGGCAAAGGAACTAAAAACAGACCTGACCTATCAGTCGGGTTACAGTGTGACGCACAACACACACACACACACACTTACTCACTCAGCTGTGTGTCTCCATCACCCTGACAGGTGGAGGTTGTATAACAGGTTGTAATTCGGAGGTCAACATATGCGTACGTGTGTGTGTGTGTGTGTGTGTGTCATAATGTAACCTGACCAGAATTAAAGCCCCCCCACCCACCACACACACCCACCATGTACACACTGTTCCACAACAACTCTGTTGTCAAATAAAACGCTTTAAAGGTGCAGTTAAGGTGTTCTTCAAAACATCAGCTCACCTGGAGCTCACCTGTGTGACTTACGTACATACCGAGCTGGCTGAGGTCCAGGAGGGTCCAGTGCAGACCAGTGGGACACGACGGGGACAGTGTCCGAATGCTGACCCGGCCATGAGTGTCCAAACCCCACAGAGCATCACGACAGGCAGACAGGTGAGTCAGCTCCACCTGAGCCCACAGGTAGAACCAAACAGAACATCAGGGGGATGCACAGGTAGAATGTCAACGTTGATACAAACCAGAAACATCAGAGGCGGAGACAGGTGATTTTACCTCAGGTGGTAGAAGGACAGAGGAGGGGCGGAGCTCTCCATCCTGATCCCAAACACAGAAGAGATCCTTCCTGCTCTGAGCCAACCACAGGAACGTACCTGAGACACAGGTGACACACAGAAAAACCACTGACGTCCAGGTGTGTTTCATGTCCAGGTGTGTTTTATGTAAAGGTGTGTTTGGTGTTTTTCATGTTCAGGTGTGTAGTTGAACAGGTGTGTCACTATATGCAGAGGTCTGGGTGTGCGTTGTGTCCAGGTGTGTTACCTTCTTTGTGAGGCACAGCTGAAGATGTGATGAAGGTCCACCTGGTGGCTGAGACAGTTCCTCGTGGAACAACGTTCTGCCAGAAAGTTCCTGAAAGAACCAAAAACAAACAGCAGCTAAAACCTGACACCTGAGCTCAGGTATAAACTCTGTTCTGACTGTATCAGGTATAATATTACACAGCACTGGGACGGTACCGACCCACGAGGCTGCCGCGGGCCAGGTGCAGCTGGTTCCGTCCTGAGGCGACCCAGACTCCGCTGGTGTTGGCGCTGACCAGACTCGGCTGGCACTGCGAGTACTGTGACAAGAAGGCCACCACCCGTTCCACCGGCGCCCTGGTTACTGTGGCAACGCTGTGCGTGGCCTGCAGCAGCGTCTGGAACAGACTGCCCTGATCGAAGACCACGTAGTCCGAAATACTGATCTGATGGAGAGACAGCGGAGGCTCAGCACACACTCGACGACACGGACAAAACGACACGAACCCGACGACACACCTGACAGAATTTTCCTCTGAACAGGTGAATGTCAGGGATGTCTTCTCAAACCTACCTGCCACCAGTGATCGTCGTCGCCCTGCGGTTTGGATGAACAGATGCCGGTTCGGAACCAGAGGCTGCCGCTGGCGTCCAGTGCCCAGGCCGTCCCACCGTCTCCCAGGGCAACACACATCAGCTCCAGACCCTGAGCCTCACTGAGAAACACAGGTGATCGAGTCTGTCAGGTAAAATCTTTCCTGCAGTTTGGTGTCTTCAGTGTCATCAAACCACATACGACACTAAAACACTGCTGTGAACAGTACTACAGGGGTACTGCAGTACTACTGCAGTGAAAAAAAACAACAAAAAAAACACAGGATGCAGGAAGAGAACTCATGTTAGCCTCTCTTCATTGGCTGCCTGTAAAATCCAGGACACACTTTAAAATCTCTCTGACATATAAAGTCCTTACTGACCAAACTCCGTCGTATTTTAAGTACCATATTGTAACAGTTGTTACAGCAGTATTACAGTAGCATTACAGTATCAGCAGTACCTGACGGTGTCGTACTTCCAGCCCTCTCCCTCGCTGCAGTAGCTGTCCAGTCCCTCCCGGTAGAACAGAGCCTTGTGTTCGCTCAGAGCCCAAACCACACCTGCCCTGACGCACACCTGGCTGAACACGCAGGGAGACTCTACCTTCACTGAACGAGCGCAGGGACGATCCATGCTCAGACCTGAAACACAGGTGGGCCGCCATTACTACAGCAACAGTACAAACAGACCATCTGAACCACCTCCTGTAGCGAGACAGGAGTTGTCGGGATTGTGTGTTAAAACATTCTGCGGAAACATGGAAACTTGTACGAAATATTAAAAGCAACATTGGTAAATAAATTGTTTGTACGAGTATCATTGAAGGTGTTTATTATTTATTTTTACGACACTTCTGACTGAACACATGAAGCTGTCTCGCTGCTGTATACAGTATATTCAGCAGTGTAATCAATTTTAGTGCAGGTGAGCAGGTGGAGTAAACTTCAGCAGCTGCTCACAGGACACCACCTGCTGGTCAGACTGTCACATTACAGCTTCAGAAGCATCAAGCATAAAATAAAGTTAAATAAATAAAGCTGTACATGTAAATGAAGCAGAATAAAGTAGGTGTAAATGACTGCTGGTACTTTTCTTTTCCCATTTTTGAGATCATGTTTCATTCCTGAATCCACATCATTAATCCTCTGAAGTCCCAGCAATTTCTGGGTGTTCTTTTTGCTCCTGTCACGTTTTTCCCCACTGTGGGCCCATGTTTTACTGACAAAATCTTCCTCTCAACTCATTCACCAGCTGTAGAAAGATGTTTCACCATGCCTAATGTATCTTCAACAACTGTCTCCTCTGTTCACTGTTTCTGAGCCATGCTGCATTTATTTTAGCGATCCAGTGTGTTTTTATTTTCCTCTCAGTCTATCTTGTTGTCTCCTCCCTGCTCTGTGGAAACACTGCCTGCAGTTCAGCAGAAAACATATTTTTAGTGTTGGCCACAGCTGAGTTGGTTGTGACTGAATCGTTTCCCTTTTTTTAACAGAATCTGCTGCAAACACCTACATCTGGGGACATATACAGTGATTTTAAAAATATATTATGATTTTAATCATAATGATGTTTAAATGTTTTCAACGGAATGATATGCCATTAGCTGAAAATCTGCTTTACTGATAAATGGTTGAATGTTGGCAGTTTTTTCAATTTAACATGCCTCTCAATCTTCCCGGAAGGTTGTGGGGTTCAGAGGGTTATCATTTGCTAATTATCAAAAGAAAAAACATTTAGCAGGCATTTGATCATAAACTGAAGTATTCCATAAGACTGCTACTAACTATTGTAATTATTTTTCATTAATCAGCCAATTATTTTCCCTGTTATTTACCCCAAGGGTCTCATTTTGTCCACAACTTAAAGATATATTTAGTTTACTGTTGTTGAGGAGGAAAGAAACCAGAAATTGAAGAAGCTGCCATCAGAGAATTTTAACTTTCTTTCTTTCATAAAAAAACAAAACAAAAAAAAAAAAACTTGAACTGATTACTCAGTTAAAAAAAATAGCGATTCATTTAACAGTCGCTATCTGAGAGAACACAATCACTGGAGGGAAGCATCTGAACGTGATGTTCAGGAGGATCTGGATCCACACGAAGCATCTTGTCTCTGTGGTTTTGTAGTGGATGTATGGACTGGTTAAACAGGTGAGTGGTTACCTGTCTGCAGGTAGAGGTCTCCGTTGGTTCTGATGATCCAGGCAGAGTCTTCACTCAGAGCCACGAAGGCCGTTTGCTCGACAGCTTTATACCAGTGGCGTTTACCTTTAACCGAAACTTTAGCACAAGCAAACGCCGTCATGGTCTTCTGCTCCACCTTCCACAAAAGGTTACCTGACAGAGTTAGCAACAGTTAGCATCCAGCTAATGTTTTATACAACTCCACATACACCTGCACAGGTCTGTTGCAGCAGAGACAGGCAGGAAATGTTGGAAAGAAAGCAGGGAAGGGATATGGATGGAAAGATATACAAACTGTACGTTAACAGTATCTTTAGAGAACACGTGACATCAGTAACAGAGGGTGGGCTAAGTTAGGAGCTTACCTAAAGGTGATAATGCCACCTGGTGGACATTATCTTCAAAGCGCTGCCAGTTGAGTCCAGTTTCCGGCAGAGTGCTGCAGAACAGTCCTCCTTTAAAATCCAGACACCATACATACCTGAAACACACAAGTCACCTGTCAGACACCTGCAATTCACCTGTCAGATACCTGAGAGTCTCCAGCCGACCCACCTGTCAGTCACCTGCAGGCTCAGTATCCCACATCCAGGTCCCGAGTATCCCATCCAGCTTTCTGCCAACTGAAGACGATAAACAAACTTTTATTAGACCCTGCCGACCAACCCACCTGGTCAGGACTGTCTCACCTGATCCGGTTTGTTTATGTCTCACCTGGTCGGGTTTGTGTCTGTCTCTGTCCTGGCTGTCCTGGTTTGTCTGACTGTCGGTTGTCTTCTCTGTCTGATTGGATGGACAGCTGCGGACGTCCCCGGTGTTGCCACCAGAGGGCAGAGTGGGACAGTAGATATCTTCTTCTTCATCACTGGACACACTGGGCTTCCGGTCCAGAGTGGACATAGTGGAGTAGAACATCTGGTCCGCAAGACCAGCAGGGGGAGCCAGGTCGTCATCCTGCACACACAGGAAACACTACATTTTAACAGAGCTGTCCAAAACGACTCACAAGAAAAGTTGAATAAAAGGTGAAGGTCTACAGAAGAGCTACAGAGGTCTAGGGACTACAAGCAGAGGTCTGTAGACTAGTTGAAGAAGTCTGGAGAATAGTTGCAGAGTTGTGGGGACTGTTTGCAGAGGTCTGGAGTTTAGCTGCAAGGGTCTGTAGATTGCTGCAGATGTTTGTAAACTAGTTGCAGAGGTCTGGGGACCAGCAGCGAAAGTCTAGGGACTAGTTTCAGAGGTCCGGAAATAACAAGCAACGGTCTGGGGACTAGTTGCAAATATCTAGGGACTAGTTGCAGAGCTCTGGGAACTAGTAAAGTAGATCTGCGGACTAGTTGTAGAGGTCTGCAGACTAATTACAGAGGTCCAGAGGCTACAAGCAGGGGTCTGTACACTAGTTGCAGGGTCTGGGGACCAGCAGTGAAAGTCTAAGTGAATAGTTGCAGAAGTCTGGGACCTAGTAGAGTAGGTCTGGGGACTAGTTGCAGGGGTCTGTAGACTACTTGCAGAGATCTGGGGACTAGTTGAAGGGTTTGGGGGTCAGTTGCAGGGGTCTGTAGAGTACTTGCAGAGATCTGTAAACTAGTTGCAAATGTCTGAGGACTAGTTGCAGTGGTCTGTAGATTAGTTGCAAATATCTAGGGACTAGCTGCAGAAGTCTAGGAACTAGTAGAGTAGGTCTGCGGACTAGTTGCAGATTTCGCCTTAAATGTAAACTTAACTACAGTATCTCATTATCACCGCAGTAACCTGGCATATTACATACATGTCAGCATGTTCACTTAAACTTCGGCAACAACACACCTCCTCCTCCTCCTCATCCTCCTCTGGTCCAATCAGAGGGCTAAGAAACTCGTCTTCCTGTTCCTCCATTGGCTGCTGCTCCAGCCCATCGTCCTCCTCAGAGTTGTGCATGTAGGAGAAGGTGCACTCCAGCAGCAGGTCCACATCTGGAGTTGGAGGGACGACGTCTGCAGCTGAACCTGGACCGGAGGCCTTTCCTGGGTTCAGCTGGTTCTCCAGGCCCTGGAGGAGCAGGGAGCCTGGAGGGAGGATGGAGCTGAAGACAAGGACGGGACAGACGGGTCAGCAGGAGCAGGAGACAAGGAGGAAACATAACCATGATGTTCTTAGCTACTAACCCAGCCTGGTTGGAGGAAGACTCCTCTCTATCCTTCACAGCTTTGTTTGAGCCTCCACCTCCTGCTTCCTGGGAGTCCTGGTCCTGAAGGTCCAGACCGATGAGGGAAGCTCGGTCGCTCAGAGGAGTTCCACTTCCTCCATCACTACAGCTGCCATCCTGGACTACAAACATGGAGTCTGAACAGCTGCTCTCTGAGAGACGGTTTCCACTGCTGCTGTCTGAGGAGACAGAAGGACATGACAATGTCAGTCAAACCTGTCTGTCTGTCTGTCTGTCTGTCTGTCCTTCTGTCTACTTGCCCTGCTGCCTCCTCTTCTTCTTCTTCACTCTGATGGCCTTCACCACCAGCTCCTGCTGCATCTCCTCCTGACCCAGGGGGGCGCTATAGCGTCTGGAGCTCAGCTCAGAGGACGTGCTCACTGCGGCGTTACCGTGGAGACTGTCCCAGGAAGTGATGGAGCTGCTGCGGCTGCGAGAGCTGCTGGTGACCAAACTGGATCGCTGACAGACCTCCATCCCCTGGACCAACATTCACCATAGCACACTAGTTATATTAATAACAGCAGGTAAAAGCCACTGGAGTAAGTTAACCAGTCTGTAAAAGTAACCAACTATTCATTGTGTAAATTTAAGCAGTTAACCAGTTTGCAAATTTAACCAATTAACCATTCTATAAGTGCAACCAGTTAACTAGTCTATAAATGCAAATAGATAACCAGTCTGTGACTTAACCAGTTATCCAGTCTGAGTGACCACTTTAACCTCCTTTAAACCAGACTTGTCTAAGTTAACCAGCCTGCAAAGCCTTTGAGTTTAACAGGTAAGCAGTCTGTAAATGTAATCAGTTAACATATCTGTGAGTTGACAAGTTCACCAGTCTGTAAAGTTAACCAGTCAACCAGTGTGTAAGTTTAACACAATAACCAGTCAGCAAGTTAACCGGTTTGTAGTTGAACCAGTTAGCCAGTTCTAAACTTAACCAGTGAGTCTGTAAGTTAAAAAGTTAACAAATCTGTAAGTTAAAAAGTTAACCAGTCTGTAACTAGTCTGTGAGTTAACTAATCCATGAGTTAACTTGTCTGTAACCAGTTTGTGAGTTAACTAGTCAATGAGTTAACTAGTTTGTAACCAGTCCGTGAGTTAACCTGTCTGTAACCAGCTGTGAGTGAACCTGTCTGTAACCAGTCTGTGAGCTAACTAGTCTGTGAGTTAACCCGTCTGTATCAGTGGTAGATGTCGGTCACCTCCAGCTGCTCCTCCTGCTCCTCGGCCTCCTCCACCTCCTCCACTCCTCCCTCCTCCTCCTCCTTCTCGTCTCCTTCCTCACACAGTCTCCCTCCTCCTCCTCCCCCCTCCTCCCTTCCTCCTCCCTCTACGATGATGGCCATGGTTCTGATTGGCTGAGCCGTTTCCACTGATCCGGTTGGCTGGAGGATGGTGGGCGTGGTCAAAGGCGAGGTCAGACGGACTGAGAGCTCAGACACTGAAGGAGAGAACCAGACAGGGGAGGGGTTATAGTAGTACTGTAATACTGTAGTAGTAGTAGAGGCAGTAGTAGTAGTACTCACAGTTGGACGCCAGTCCCTCTGGACTGTTGGACAGACGAACGATGTCTCTGTCTCCTTTCAGGATGAAGATCTCGTTATCACAACACGATACCGATACAATATCTCCACTGCTCTCCAACGCTCCGATGATCACCTTCAAGCACAACAGATAACACAAAAAGTCAACAGTTAAACAAACATTTACACAAAGTCAGCGTTTACACAATCACAATACGACAGTATGCTGCACCAGGATGGTAACTGGTAACAAGAGTAGAACCTTGAGAACAGAATCTGGTGCCTCGTTCATGGAAGATATTGTAGAACATTAGGAGAACCTCGTTAAAGTGTAACTCGTTAGCAGAGTCTGTTGTTCCAGCAGCTTGTTATAAATAAAGAACATTAGCTCTGGAAGCAGCTGCAGTACCTCGTTGAGAAAGTCGAGGACGTAGATGCTGTACTCGTTCCAGCTGAGGATCCAGCCCTCTCTGAGGAAACAGCTGAGCAGGCCGAGCTGTCGCTCTGCTGGACGGTATGCTCCGATTGGTGCCGGACGAGGAAACAGCTCAAACTGAGGTATCTGACAGACAGGACAGGTGAAGAAGAAGGCATTTGTGTAGTTATAAATATGAGTACGAGTACTGAAACATAATACTGGTGATTGTATCAGCACCCAGTGCTCCCAGTGCTCCCAGTGCTCCCAGTGTACCTGTGTGCTGAACAGCGGTTTGAGCAGTCGGGTGTCCTCCACCTGTCCTCTGATGTCAGACCTCCACAGTCTGAGTCCAGGTCGAGCAGCAAACACCTGAAGATCACTCTGTTTACAGAGAGCAGGCAGGAAGCAAGCGCCGAACCTGCCGCTGCTGCAACAGCACAGCACAGATACTGTCAGAGGGTACAAGTACCTGTGTGAGGTGTGCTGGATGTTACCTGTGTGTTACCTGTGTGAGGTGTGCTGTATGTTACCTGTGTGTTACCTGTGTGAGGTGTGCTGTATGTTACCTGTGTGTTACCTGTGTGAGGTGTGCTGTATGTTACCTGTGTGTTACCTGTGTGGGCTGTACCTCTTGCGGGGCTTGGTTCCCATTTGCAGAACCTCCTGCGTCTGTGTGCAGTAAAGCAGAGATCTCTGCTGCGTTGAGACCAGCAGCACCTGGTGTCTGTACTCCATCTGAACCACACCTGAGGACTCCTCCAGCAGCAGCACAGGTTTACACACTCCCTGCACACACACAATCACTGTCAGGTGGCATCCTATCAACGTGTGTTACCTGTGCTATGTTGCTGTGTTCTCACCTGGTCCAGGTCCAGAGCAGAGAACACCACTCGTCCTTTATCATCTCCGGAGAAAAGCTTCATTCCGTTGGTGCTCCACGCCAAAGACGTGACAGAGCCCTTATGGAGGCCGACCACATCAAAGCGCCTCAACTGCAGACAGACAAACAGACAGGTGGGTTATAGAGAAACAGACAGGACAGCAGTGACACCTGTCGACTTTCTCACCTGTTTGTTGCGACCAGGAAGTGGAGAGACCAGTTGGAAGACGGCGACCCGACCTGAAGCTGTTCCCACGGCGACCAGATCATCGAAGCAGCTGAGCAGCTTCACCGCTGTGATCGCATCACACTTGCCCTGTAAAGTCAGAACACTTCGCTGATCCTGATTATCTGAACAATGCTGACTTCTTCTAATCTATTGATTATCTGCAGCTCCTCTCAGACCTGAGAGCACTGAAGCTTTATCATCACAGTGTTAAAGTGAAGCTTCCTGTCATTCAGACAAACCCACCACAGTGACAGAGAGAACCATGGCACCACATTTGTCAAACAGAACAATGAGTGATGCATGATTCACAATAACACACTAATAAACTAAAGACTAACTCTGAATTAACAGCAGTTTATCAAACTGTAATGATAATCTAACTACCATTTTACTGACAGTTTAACAAAAATATCTCAAATTGGATAAGCTTAAAGAGTGCCACCTGCTGGAGCAACAGATGAACAGCTCCAAATGCGGATACAGGCTGTATGATAAACACCACAGAAGAAGAGCTCTGACCTCCAGGCTGTACTTGTTCATGTGTGCAAGGCGGCGACAGTACAGGTAGAGCATCCCGATGCTGCTGCCCACCGCCAGGAAGTCAGTGCTGCTGTCCAGAGCTGTTAGGTAGACAAGGACGGACCTGAACCCTCGCTGCACCTGTCGGGATACAGAGGACCCTCATCTTCATCATTATTAATAATATTAACACACAGGAGAATCATCTTCATCACTAATATTAACATTAACACAAAAGAGATGCTTCTCCATGACTGTTGAACTCCCGGATTTAGTCTTGCTCTAAATAGGGCGGTTTGCTGACAGCTGCTGCTGTCCCCACCCATTTCAAGAAGAAAACTTTCTCTGCATTTGTGAATGACAGTGTGGAGCAAAACAATCGATCACGACAGCTGACACAGGCATGAATGAGTTTGTTTGCATCACTACAAACTTGATGTGATCATTTGACATTGAAATATTTTTAAATTTTCGGCACAACTGTTGTTTTAAGTTCTGTATTTGGTGAGTTTATCACATAAAGTTGTGGTTATAAAATCTGTATTTTAGCTGCAGAGGAGCAGTGAGGAATTGGCTGGTTTTCATCTTTGTTCTGCTGTCTGACAACACAAAAAGGAAAATCTGTAAATGAGCTTTATTGTGAATTTGGCTGATTTAAAATACAGTTTACGTGAGCATAGAAAGCAGGAGAGAAGCGAATAGATGGAAACAGCAGCTGAGACCAGGTTGAACTGAAGCTTAACAGGAGACATAAAAACACAGTAATACACCCAGTCCTTGTTTATTGGTTTAAATTAAAGTTTCCACAGAGCTCTGACCTGTGGCCAGACCATCGAAGCTAATGTCAGCCAAATTAGCTGCACAACGCGCCAACATTAAGGATTTTCCTATTGTTGGGGTGAGATAGCCATAAATATAATCCACTGGCTGTTCAGTTCCTCAGATGCTGGGGGTGCATGAAGACTCTTGTGTTCACTCTTGCAGCCAACAGCAGAACATTTGGTGAGTTTTGGTTGTGGATCAGACATTCTAGAGTTTAGCAGAAGCAGCTCTAGAATGTAAATAAACCTGTTGGACTCTGAGGAAGCTGCTCATTCTGATTGGTTCATCTAGAAGCACTGAGGGGGCGGGGCTATACAATGTTTAAGCTGAATAAATATTGGTTCCTTAAGTGGTACAGCAGTAAAATTCTCACTGGTTTGTAAAGATGGGAGGTGAACTCGTTGCGGCGCCTGGATTCATGGCAGAAGAAAATGTCTTCATGTCCTAACAAATTTTACTTTAAACCGCCAAGTTTATAACACCCACAAAACACAATAAAAATGAATTTTTAGTATATGGGACCTTAATATTAATATTAAAGTGGATCGTCACCTGTATTACATTTGGAATGGACCAGTTCCTTGACTTGGTTGGGCTGGGTTTAGGGATGGGTCAGTATTTTAGCGTGGTTTGGCCTTGTTCAGAGCGTGCCAGTACCTTGGCCTGGTTTGGCCTGGTTAATAATGTGTCAGTACCTTTGCTGGGATGGCGTTCAGCAGGTAATAGAGCGGGCAGAACTCCCTCAGGATGGACGGTTGTGTCGCCATGATGCTCCTGAAGTGAACTCAGCTGGTCCTAAAAGTCAATTCAGAACTCCATTTAAAAAACACACAAATTAACCTGAAAACACTCACATCTCTTAACTCTGAGCCAAACTCAGTTCCAGAAGCTTCACATTTTACTGTTCTCTTTAACAAGCAAAGAAAACAAGGTGCTGGAGTTCATTTAACATAACACCATTATTTACATTAACAGCTCAATGTTATATTTGCAGTTTCTGCTCTCATACTGACCGTTTGCTAGTCACGGAGGGCGGCACCGAACAGCGTGACCCACCGTAAACAGCTGGGATTTGACGCAATTTAACGACAGGTGGGTTGAGCAGACATAAGCCGAATTTTACAGAGCGGCATCATAACTGTACAAGACCTCGTGTCGTGTTCAGCACCGGACGTATTTCACCTTTAATAAAGACCCACATTAAATTGACAGTTTATTGAGTTAGGTTTGGTGTGGGGAAAGCAATGAACGTTCTGCTTCCTGATCAGCTGAATGCACCAAACCCGGTTCCTTAAAAGAGCCGTTTCTCTTTATGTAGACGTGACTTGACAACCGTGGCAAGACAATACATTAAAGGATTTATTTAAAGTAGCACAGAGCAGCATTTAATAACAATGAAAGCTCATGTTTTCTGCTTCAGTTAGTCCTGTTGACAGGGCGGCGGTAACGAACAGCCTGAACAAACCTGACTATAAAACAGATGTAACACCATTTGAACGCCCTTTGGTTGATCACACACACAAACCGAAAAACACATAGCGGCTACCTGAAGTGATTAAAACCTCTCTTAGTGCCTGGCAGCTCGTGTGTTCCTGCACAAACTGAGACAAATATTAAATTGTCGATTTTTCGAACGGAGTCCGGTGTGACGCTTATCGTCGGGTCAACGTTAGCTCGGCAGGCTGTTATGGATGATGACAGCTGACAGTAAACAACCCTAAAAACAACCGACCGTAAACAATAACACAAACACACCGTGTTGTTTACACAGCTAGCCCTCCGACCACCGAGTCCCGGTAGCTAGCATCAGGTGAGAGCGGCTACTGCTAAGGTTAGCAGCAGGAGGAAGCTTGTGAGGCCCTTACTGAGAGCTGACGGCGAGGATGGAGCTCAGATGTTGGTCCAGGTGTTTCTGCTGCAGCAGGAGGTGACAGCGCGGACAGGTGACATCGCCCTGCGGGTCTGATGCTTTCACGCTGAGGCTGTCGGATAACAGCGCCCCCTGCCGGCCGCACCAGCTCCACCCTGCAGGACGAACTGCGCCAACTTCCGGTCGCCTTCAGCACCTGCAGCTCCGCATTATTTCTGTTTTTGGGATATTTTTTTTTTCTTCGCTCAAAATGAAAGACTGAACACAGATTGTGCTTTCAAAAGCGACTTCAATCTAAGAGTCATTAATATTATTTTTCTATACAAATTGAATTTTTAAAAAAGAAAAGAAAATTGTAAATGAATGATAGGAAGCGGAAACTCAGTGACTGCTGCTTGAAAGACCTGGAAATCTGGATTATTGTTCCATTTAAAATCCTTCTTAATCTTAAAACATACTGGAAAATAAGAAACAAACTAAAAATATTTAAACTCAGGAAAAAAATTCTAAGAAATGCTCCAAAAACTAGAAAAGAAACCAAAATATCGTAAACAAACTAAAGAATCTCTTAAAAACAGAAAAAACAAAACAAACAAACAAAAAACAACAACTTTGAAATCGGAGACAAAACCTTTAAATTATGGGAAACTGTACTGTAATGTCAGAAAAAACAAACTAAATCAGAAATTGTATATATATATATATATATATATAGAGAGAGAGAGAGATAGCTAGATAGATTAGCAATACTTTATAATCTGAAATAAGGTAATAAATCATTTAAAATCGGACAAAAATAAAGAAAAAAATCTACTTGAAAATCACAAGAAAATCAATTGGAATAAAGGAAGTATACTTTAGAATTAGAAAAGAGACAGATTTTTTAAAAAATTAAAGATAATTTAAATAAAAAAATAAAC